ATCACCATTTAACTGATAGATACGCAACACGTCCCAGGTGAGCTTGCAAAATAACTAGATATAAAGGAGGGCAGTATTCTTGCACTTTGAATAGTTATGAAGAAAGATAACTTTTAGCAAGCACAGCTTATCATACAGGGTGAGATATCTGCACCTTCCAGATTCTAAAAACAGACCCATCCCAATCCTAATGCTTGAGAGCCTTTGAGTTTAAATTGTGATTTTCTGCATGGAAAACATTTATTTTTACATGTGTACAGTTTACAGGCCACCCTACAACAAAAGTTCTCTGGCTAGCTTAAATGGATTAAAACCAGCAAGTTCAATAAAACAACAGATACAGCTAATACACAACATAAAATTATTTTAAAACACTGAACTTTGCAGCAGTGTATCAGTTCAAAACTGAGGGCGGGGGAATAAAATCCTAGAACAGTATTAAACTATAATTTGGTATAAAAGACCTAGGGGAAAGTAAAAACCTGCTGCCAGCAGGATATTGAAATAGGTGCCAGGTGAGCCAGGGGTGGGGTGGGCCTTTCACTACAGAAAAGGCCCATTCTCTCATAGTCACCCGGTGTACCTTGTGTTGTCCCAAAGGGCCTGAGATGACAACATAGGACCATGCAGGGCTTTAAAGAGAAAAACGCACTTTGAATTGAACAAGTAACCAGTGAAGTTGCAAAATGCCCCTCCCAGTTAGTATTTGAGCAGCCATATTTTGCATCACGTGAAGTTTCCGGAACATTTGCAGAGACGTCCATGTGCAATGCGTTGCAGTAATCCAAACAGGAATTTATCAAGGCATCCATGATATCTCTGTCCAGTTTTTGTAAGGGTGGACACACTAAAACTAAGGTGGGCACATTGAGATTAAGGTAGGCACTAAAAGTATTATTTCCTAACCAGAAGATCAGTGCCTGAAGGGTATGTGATTTAAATCAAAGGACATGGGTAGGATCTACTTGGGAGAACACATGAAGAGCTTGTCAGATCAGGCCAAAGGCCCATCTACACCAGCATCCGGTTTTAACAAGTCAAATGATAAAATGCGTAGAAGAAGGACCTGAGCACAACAGTACTCCCCTACCAGCAATTCCAAGCAGGTTTCATAATCTTTTAAAGTCATGCAAGCTGGCAGTCATGGCTACCTCTTTTAGGAGTTAATTTCATAGCTCAGCTGTGTGAATAAGTACTTCCTTTTATATGACCTGAATCTTCCAACATTCAGCTTCATTAGATTTGCATGGATTTTAGCACTATAAAACAAGGGACGAAAGCTCTGTATTTACTTCCTTCACATTGTGCATAAACTTATACAGCTCTGTTATATGTCCCCCTTCTCCACTTGTGATTTTTCTAACTTAAAAAGCCATATTGTAACCTTTCCTTATAGGGGAGTCTCTCCAACCCCTTGATAATTTTGGCTGCCCCTCTTTTTTTTTTACCTTTTCCAGCTCTACCATATTCTTTTTTAGGCAAAACAAACAGAACTGTATAAAGTACTTCAAATGTGGTTGCATCATAAATACTCAGATATGGAAAGGGACAGAAATAAATCATTATCTGGAACTTATTTGTCAGGGAGCAAGATGCAGGGAGGACTGAAGAATTCCAGTGGTTTCTGAAAAAATCTTTCAGCATGATTCTGAAAGTACTTGTTAAGAATCGCATGTCAGAGGCAAAATCACAGCCAGTCAGTGCAGGGTATGTGCAGACTATTTGTTATTTAAATCCTGAATAATAATTCAATGCAGTACAGTAGTACCTTGGGTTACATAGGCTTCAGGTTACATACGCTTCAGGTTACAGACTCTGCTAACCCAGAAATAGTGCTTCAGGTTAAGAACTTTGCTTCAGGTTAAGAACAGAAATCGTGCTCCGGCGGCAGCAGGAGGCCCCATTAGCTAAAGTGGTGCTTCAGGTTAAGAACAGTTTCAGATTAAGAACCGACCTCCGGAACGAATTAAGTACTTAACCCGAGGTACCACTGTATAAACAAATACCTGGCTGTTATAAACAATAGGTTGAACAGAGGTATTCATCACACACACACACACACACACACACACACAGATCGCCTGATATGCCATGTCCACTATGGCTCCTCCTATTCTCTCCTACCTTCTGAATATAACCAGAGAAGCACTCTCTTTACACATTAGCACAGCAATTACTCATTAGGGAGCCAAGATGGTACTCTACAGATGTTGCTGGATTCCAACTTGCATTACCCCTGACTGCTGACCATGCTGTCTGGGACTGACGGAGTCCAACGACAACATTTGGAAGGAACCACTTTGGCTGCCCTGGTTTAAATATATTAAGAAAACAATGCTTGAAGTTTTGGGGGACAGGAAGGAGCCCAATCTAACTGTTCCCTTTGCCTTCCTTCTCAACCTCTCCAACAACAGTTTTTCATTTTACATTCAACATTGGCTCTAATTAACAGAAAAGTGTCATCCTTAAGTCTGGAAACACATAAGATAGTAAACCAGCTCCCCTTATATTGTGTTCCAGTGAGGAATGGCGTATATCATTGCCAAAAAGCTTATTCATCCTCTCTGTATAAAAACTCAGCATTTACTTGCATTAGGGTTGCCATACTTCAAAAAGTGAAAACCAAGACACCCTAACTTGGCAGCCCTAACTTGCATGGACCTGTCTCTTGAATTCCTCAACCAGCTGCTGGTCTGTAGCCACAGCAAGGGGACCAGCGACTGCTAAACATACTATGTATTCCATGGATGGGCTGACCAGAACAAGAGGCATGCATTCACTACACAATAAAAGTCCCATGGGTTTTTCAACATATGGTACCAGATTAATTGATAATTCTCAGAGAAGGTCACAGCTATTAATTCCCATCCAAGTACTGAGGGGATCTGCATGTACTATAGGTGAACATAGTGTTGTGTGGCTTTCTGCTTTCTGTTGGGGGAGAATGTTCAAGAAGCCGGGGCCTTGTTGAGCCAAGGGACTGTCTGGGGCTAAAAGCAAGATGTTTGCCTGAGCAGAATCCTTTGGCACAGCTCAGCCGCCACTGCAGCTGAGCCTGCACTGAGCATGTGCTGTTGCTTCCTCTGCTTGTTAAGTAGAAGTGAGACTATTCTGGCGAACGGAATATACTTGGGAAGCAAGAGGGGCCAAGGCACAGAGAACCTGCTCCTCTTCCAGCTGTGGAAAAGGATATACAGAAATCTCTTGAGGCACACATAAAAATACAGCTGCCCTCCTTATCTTTCTTCAAGCGTGTTCTGCTTTTAAGAAACAGGGTGCAGCAACCAGGCAAGATGAAAAGAGAGGGGACAGGCAGTGATAAAATCTCACCTCTCAGCTCTATGGTTTGCATGTCTGCAAACAGGGATAACAAGTGACCTCAAGTTCTGGTCCACCCTTCTCTTTGTCTTCTGCAAACACCTTTCTTCTTTCATCTCCTTGTTTTGATCACACTCCTGTCACCCCAGAACCTCTGTTCTTTGACATCAGTCTTATGCCAAACCTAATCCAATTGGAACGGGAAAAGGATCGGAAATAGACCTCTGAGGCAAACTGCTCAGCTTTGAAAGCTGCGTCCCACTGTCAGGAAATTAAAATGTATGGTTGGGGTGGGAGGGAAAGGGAGAAAGTACCATATTGTTTCAGAGCACCATATGGGGAAGGCACCTGGTACCCAGACATGTCATTCCCCCTCCCAACTCCTTCACAGCAGGGCTCTTTCAGCCTTGAGAACCCTGACCAACCCTGACGTTGTCATTTCTTTAATTTGCACTGATTCTGCAATAAAATAATAGGAGAGGAAAACACCTATCTCCAATAAAAAAACATTCCTAGTTTTACCTTTGCTTTTGCTACCTCTGTCTCTCCCATTCAAACAGAATGCATTCCCTCCCCGCCCCCCCAGCACAGATCGAACATATTCTTTGTAAAAGGTTTCTGGCAAATTTCTTATCTCAGGCAAAGCTGGCTCTGCACATCCTCTGACAGGGGGACCCATCACATATACCTCCCCTTATATTTTAAAAGGAAGCAGCTCAGAAAACGAACCACAGGCAACACAGAGATGGGCAAGCCCAGCGAGTACAGCAGGCAAGACAGAGCTTCTCCACAGCTAGTTTTTTGTGTTTACAAAAGTATATACATACATTTCCCCCCCTTTCTCCCCATCTATAATGGCTTTCCTTCATTTTCATTTTTTTTTAAATTCAGTAAATAAACATGACCTGTGCCTCAATTTATAAAGGTTTAAAGACCAGTAGTGAGTGGACATCACAAGTCATCTATTGTCTATGTAAAGAGACAACACGCTTCTTCCCAGCCAAATTACATACGCTTAGCCCCAGCCTTTAAAAAGAAAAAAAGGAGAAGATACAGGTTTAGGGACTAGAAAGCAGGTGGATGCACACACAAGTGGTGGACACACTGTGAGCTAAGCTGTTCCTTCACCTCACCTACCAGGCCTTGTAACCTGGGAGGGCAACAGGGTGCAGTTATGCAGTGGTGTCACAGCCCTGCAGGAAAGGATTGTCTAACAGCATTGGGTTTCATTCAGCGCCATGGGCGGACCACTCCCTCTACAGCAGCTGCTGGCTAAACAACCTGCCCCGATTCTGCTAACCCAGATGTACAATTATTATTATTTAAATGTCTTTGCCTCTTTGTTCTTTTTATACCCTTCCTTTCTACCCTTGCCAATCTACTTTTACAGAAACTGGGTTTAAAAAATTAGGCAAAACACAACCACTCAGGTAAATGGATTTTTAACCGTATGCATCAGAGAAAAAGAGATGATCTGAAAACATGTATCAAAGCTTGGAAATACACAATTCTGAAAGCAAGAGAAGACAATGATGCCTGCCCGGCTACCATCTGTATAGCATTGCAGACAAGCCCCACCTTGAAAAGAAGAATGGAGAATAACACTGATCATTGCAGATGGGTTCCTTCTCAATGATGCAGCTGCATATAAAGAGGGGGGGGAAAACCCTTGCTTGTTTTACCTGAGACGGTGCTGGCCATGATGGTGAGATGGGTAGTGGAGAGGATGCTGCAAGGGAAGATGCAGAGGCAGAGAGGCAGGAGACTGGCTTTTCTGCTGAAGTGCTGCAATGCTGTGGAAGAGAGGAAGGTCTGACTCAGCTCTAGGGGGATGTGGCTATCCAAGAAGGGAGGAGAGAAAGAGAAGGAGAGGGGGAGAGGGAGAGAGGCGAAAGAAAGAAAGAAAAGGAGAAAGGGCTTGAGATACGGAAAATGAGTTCCCAGTTCAGAATATCAATGGGCCTCTGAGGGCAGCTTTTGATGCCCAATTCTTTTACAATGTCAGGAGTCTGAGAAGAAACGCAGAGCCTGTTAGCAAAGGGGATAGTTAGCAGACACGCCCAAACTGGAGATTTACCTCCTCCCTTCTCTTGTCTGACATGTATAGTCTAGAAATCAGCTGTTTCGTTTTATGTTAGGGAGTTGAAAACAAAATGTGAAAATGCACAGAGTGAACCAAATTTAAAGAGATAAAAAGCTTTGGGAAGCGCAGCCATTCACAATTTCGCAGACCTATTTGAAGGATGTGTCTGGAATTCAAGTTAACCCAGCACGAAAATACCAGCTCCTGTTCTCACCTAGGGTTGCCATTTCACAAGCCTAGTACTCCAGTTCACAACCTAGTTAAGCTACAGTACCTGGATTTAACCCCACTGGCATCACATGATACGTTTCTTTACATTTATCACTGTTACATTTAAAACTATGTCCATAGCAGGATTGAAAACCAAAAGCCAAATCAAGGAGTACTGTTTTTAAAATTAATACCTGCTTTGCATATTCTCAGATATGCAAATAAACATATTATCTTTCCCACCTTTCATAAGTCAAACATTTGGAAACATGCCACACACATCACTATATATCTAATCTCCATATATATATATATCCCTTTCTTCAAGGAGGTAGAGTGGGGCATGAGGATTTTTTTAATAAGTCATGGCAGATCACCATCTTTTTAATTCCATCAAATGTATTAATTCTCCTCTATCATCACATTAATCACCATGTTTTGATCAGCATTGCTTTCTGATAAGCCTAAGAATCAGGACAGCTGTATTAGTAGTCCCAATTGTCAGCATCAGCCCCATTGCACCTGTGCTGAGGGAACTGCACTATTTGTTGATCACCTATCAGGCTATGCGCAAGGCCTTGTTACTAACATATAAATGCTGAACAACTTGAGACCAGGTTACCTGAAAGACTGCCAGCCCCTGTATAGACCGGTTAGATTACTCAGGTAAATTTTACTCATAACACTGCACCTTAAAGAACATCACAGGGCAGTGACCGAAAACCCATTTCCCCAAAACCCATTTTCTACTATAGTGACCCTACACTATGAAATACCTTCCCATCCCCTGCCATATATAGAACATAATCTATTAACTGCTTCAGCCATTTTGGGAAGAAGACAACATATCTTGGGAAGAAGACAACATTATCTTTTTGCCTAGGATTTCTCTGACCCAATAAGATTGGGCTCTTGCTATTGCTGAATTCCTGCTTACACCTGTTGCTCTTTTTAATAAGTTTTATTTACTGGTTTTATGATACTTGCTTTTAGTGTTAATATTTATAAATCTTTAAGTGGTATAGGAAGTGATTTAGAAATGCTTAAAAATAAATATATAAAATAATAATAATCAGCACCCTTCATATTTTCTGAGGTTCAAAGCACATCACCACATGCACTGTCTTGGCCATTTTTACAATCGCGCTATAAGGCAGGTCCATATTATCGCTATCACCATGTTGCAGAGTTGGGATTTAGTTTGAGACTTGCCTTAGGCCACTTTGGGAATTTACAGTTGATGTGATGTCTTCCTGACAGGCAACTCATGCTCTAACAATGCTTTAAAAAACGAATTAGCCCTCATGTTTGAATATGCCTGAAACATACATCAGGCTTGACTGGTGATACAATAATTTAGGATTCTGAAGAGCCAACAGACTGGAAATTAGTATCTCTATATTGCTGAGGTGATGTAGTCCGCATAAATGGTATTATTTAATGGGCATACTTTAAGCAGCTTTCCGTAAGGAGAAAACTTCATGCCAAATAAACTGTTTGGCTTAGATGGAGTCATTATATATAAAACTGAGAAGCTGAAGGGCTACTGAAAACTTAGTCTGAATACTTGAAAGTCAGATAGTTCTGCAAAATCCCCAACCAACAGTACAAAACATGAAGGTATTAGTATTATGCCCCATCTGGCTGAAGTGAGTCTTCAATAAAATTGTCCTCAATGGAATTTCATTGGACCTTCAGACTGTCACATGGGTTCCAAATACATAATCAGTAGAATGGAAATGTGGAAAGAGACCCGCCAAAAATTAACCAACAAACAAAGAGTATTCTAAGAATGCACCTGAAGAACCAAAAACATTTTCCAAAGGTGACTGAATCATAGAATCATAGAGTTGGAAGAGACCACAAGGGCCATCGAGTCCAACCCCCTGCCAAGCAGGAAACACCATCAGAGCACTCCTGACATATGGTTGTCAAGCCTCTGCTTAAAGACCTGCAAAGAAGGAGACTCCACCACACTCCTTGGCAGCAAATTCCACTGTCGAACAGCTCTTACTGTCAGGAAGTTCTTCCTAATGTTTAGGTGGAATCTTCTTTCTTGTAGTTTGGATCCATTGCTCCGTGACCGCTTCTCTGGAGCAGCAGAAAACATCCTTTCTCCCTCCTCTATGTGACATCCTTTTATATATTTGAACATGGCTATCATATCACCCCCTTAACCTCCTCTTCTCCAGGCTAAACATGCCCAGCTCCCTTAGCCGTTCCTCATAAGGCATCGTTTCCAGGCCTTTGACCATTTTGGTTGCCCTCCTCTGGACACGTTCCAGTTTGTCAGTGTCCTTCTTGAACTGTGGTGCCCAGAACTGGACACAGTACTCCAGGTGAGGTCTGACCAGAGCAGAATACAGTGGCACTATTACTTCCCTTGATGTAGATGCTATACTCCTATTGATGCAGCCCAGAATTGCATTGGCTTTTTTAGCTGCCGCGTCACACTGTTGGCTCATGTCAAGTGGAAAGCTGATTCATAAAAGTTACTTGCTCAGAGGTACTTAGCAAACCAAAATTGGAATGAAAGTACAGTTATACGTCCTGACTCAGTTGGTTGAAACTCAGAACAGGGTCATTTCACTTGTTACCACCATTGGCATTATTGGCATTGCAGAGCTCTGTAAAGACTTCCTGAATGTTGCAGAGATTAAAAAACAAAATATCCCCCTACCCTTAGGTTCACAGTCTAAAAGGCATAATACAAAAGGAAAAAAGAATGGGAAGGAAAGAAGCTATGGCAGGTTCGAATCTCTGGTCTGCTGTGAGGCATACCGTGTGACCTTGAGTCAGTTACAATTTCTTAGACTAACCTTTCTCCAAGAGTTGGTGTAAGAATAAAGGGGGGGGGATGAGGTGACATCAGGTGCACCATCTTGTCTTTTGTGGAGGAAAGGAAGGACACAAATGCAATAAATTAAATAAATAATCATAAATATCAGGAAAGATTAAAATGTGTTGTGGAAATTAATGGCTTTGCGGCGTCTTCCAACTCTACCAGTTATATAAAAGCCAGCTACACTGAGTGGAGTGTTCTTTCCCATTCTGAAGGATTACTGCAACTCATCACTACACACGGAGCAAACAGTTTACACAGAGATGCAATGCGTGCAATTGAGCCAAATCTACTCTCTGCTTCTTTTGAGCCAGTGTGGTGTAGTGGTTAAGAGCGGTAGACTGGTAATCTGGTGAACCGGGTTCGCTTCCCCGGTCCTCCACATGCAGCTGCTTGGGCTAGTCACACTTCTTTGAAGTGTCTCAGCCCCACTCACCTCACAGAGTGTTTGTTGTGGGGGAGGAAGGGAAAGGAGAATGTTAGCCACTTTGAGACTCCTTCGGGTAGTGATAAAGCGGGATATCAAATCCAAACTCCTACTCCTCCTCTTCTTCTTCTACTTCTGCACTTAGCTTTCTTCCTTGAGCTGTGCCTGGCAAAGGAGAATGTGTTCTCTTTCTGCTGCAGGGAAATAGACTTGGTTTCCCTGAAGGTAAGCCAGCTATGAAGGGATAGGCCAGAAATCTAGACTGCCCAGCTGCTTCCCTCTCTGCACAGTACGACCCTGCTGACAGGGATCCTGCAATGAATGAGCCACATAAAACATGGGAAGACACAAGAAGGAATGAATGAAGCATTTTGTGGACTTGATAAAACCCTACAGTTTCCAGTTCTTTCCATAGCCTTGTTTTTTTAAAGGAACAATCTGGGCTTAAATGTAAGTATTTGATGCATTCAAAACCTCCCTTTTTTCAGGTAACTATCCCATACTTCGGATTATTCTCCCTATTGAAGGTTGTAATCCTAAACACAGAGAGACTTACTTGGAGAGGATTGACCTGCAAGTATTATTGTGAAGGACATCTTAAGGGCAAACAATGCAAAGCAGCATTTGGGGGGCTCTTGAGGAAGTGATTTAGAGAAAAACCAGTGATACTGCTATGCTAGAGTTGCAGTATTGGTAAACTAGGGCAAAGATACAATGCAATGGGGAGACAGAGAAGCATCCAGCCAGAGCTGAGTCACATCAGAATCTATCTATAAAAATAAAGCAGTTCCTGACTCATTGTCTTTGCTACTTGCATTTGGGAGCTGTCCAGGATTCCCTTTCCCTCGCAGAATTTGCTTTCTTGATAATTACTGTAGAACTCACCCATGCTTGATATAATGAAATTCCCTGAAAGATGCAGTAAGATAAAAGGAACAAATATGAGCAATACGTCCTGGAAGTATCACTATAGCATGCTATATGGCAGGTTTGAAAGAGGCTTGGAAGCTTTTGAAACTGGCACCTCAGTTCTGCAGATACATGTATCTGTGATGCAGAATGACTTGGTAGGGCTGCAGTGTAGTCAAGTGGATAAAAGGTTTGCTCTGGAGGATGTGCCTTAAGACCTACTTTTCCCATTGAGTGACCATGATGCCTTGGAAAATTGATAAGCCTGCTATCAGTAACTCAATGATTGTATGCCTTTCTGTTGCTTTTAAAAGGGACTGGAGGACTATACTTTGTTTTGCTGCACAAGATGACAACAAATAATAATAATAATTTATTATTTGTACCCCGCCCATCTGGCTGGGTTTCCCCAGCCACTCTGGGCAGCTTCCACAGAGACCAAAAATACACTAAAATGTCACACATTAAAAACTTCCCTGAACAGGGCTGCCTTCAGATGTCTTCTGAATGTCAGGTAGTTGTTTATCGCTTTGACATCTGATTGGAGGGCGTTCCACAGGGCGGGCACCACTACCAAGAAGGCCCTCTGCCTGGTTCCCTGTAGCTTTGCTTCTCGCAGGGAGGGAACCGCCAGAAGGCCCTCGGCGCTGGACCTCAGCGTCTGGGCCATAGGCGCCGACTCCATGGGGCTTGAGGGGGCTTGAGCCCCCTCAAAAAAATTTTGGGGGGGGCTCAGCCCCCCCAATAATCTCGGGCGCCGGGGGCGGGGGCTCCTGCCTCGCTGCTTCGCATGGGCAAAACGATGGGGGTGGAGACGCTCCTTCAGGTATACTGGACCGAGGCCATTTAGGGCTTTAAAGGTCAGCATCAATACTTTGAATTGTGCTCGGAAATGTACTGGGAGCCAGTGTAGGTCTTTCAAGACCGGTGTTATGTGGTCTCGGCGGCCACTCCCAGTCACCAGTCTAGCTGCCGCATTCTGGATTAGTTGTAGTTTCTGGGTCACAACAAATTTCAGACACCCCTGCTGAAAATCGGTTCCCACTTCTCTCCCACCACTAGTCCTCAAACAGCTCCCTCATTCTAATCTTGCCCCACCCCTCTGCCTCTGACTTCCCTTCTTCCCACATTCCTGATGCAGCTGGTGCTGGCAGAGGCTCCTCATGCCAAAGGCCGACTTGAGCAGAAATAAATGACCATGACTATGCTCTCTCCCCTCCCGCCAACAACCTCCACTGCCGCTGCTTGTCTCAGCCCCAGGGATTGACTAGAGGGTTGCTGATCCCTGGCTCCGGACATGCTTGAGCGCAGGAGCATACTCCCTCCTCTCTGTTTGCAAAAGTGCCTGCGTGCTGATTGCTGCCAGGAATATTCCCTGCTGTCATCGTGGAAGCTAGGCAGTGGGAAGCAGAGAAGAATCTGACCCCCCTGTTGTTTTCTCTTGCTACTGTGGAAGGTTGCCCTTCTTGAGACTCTTTTCCATCTTGCTGCTGACACAGACATTCATCTTAGTATAGAGTGGGAAGAGACCCCAAGGGTCAGCTAGTCTTACCCATTGCAATTCAGGTACCACATAGAATCTCTGATAGATGGCCATCCAATGTAATGAGGAGGCGTAGTTCAGGCTAAACATACCCAACTACCACAACTGTTTCCCATAAAGTTTGGTTTCCAAACCATTGATCATCTTGGTCACCCTCCTTTGCATATGTTCCAGCTTGCCAATATCCTTCTTAAATTGTGGACACAGAATTCCAGGTGTGGTCTAACCACGGCAGAATAGAGCATGATTGGGACACTATATTTCTGTTGATGCAGCTGAGAATAGCATCTACTTTTTTTGCTGCTGTATCACACTGTTGACTCATGTTCAACTTTTGGTCTACATAAGAGCCCTAGCTCCTTTTCACATGTACTGCTGGCATGCCAGGTGTCCCCCATCTTATATTTGTGTAGCTGGTTCATCCTGCCTAAGTGTTGTTGTTGGCATCTGTCTGTCTCAGGAGACAATGGAACAGTGAGGGGGTGGGACGGGGCACGGGAGAGAGGGACTGGGGTGGCAAAGCTTAAATTCTTTTATTTAGTGTATGCTTGGGGGTTTTCTGTCAGCGTCACTTGGGGAAGTTCTCTTTCTATTCGCTTGTTATGTTTCCTTAGTGGTGAGAGAGGTTGGGGTGGCCTAGGGTGTGGCTGATCATCTTTGGCTGGCTGCAGTGGGATTTGTTTGTGCGTGGGTGAGGGGGGTTGTCGGGTTAAGTTAGCCATATTGAATCATATGCTGTCAGTGGGTTATGAGCTCTTTCTAGTGTGAGACGGCATTGTTATCTTGGAAGATGTTCAGTAGGGCCAGTTCTGGGATGACGTCTAGTACCAGTTTAGTTATTTTGCTTATTTCTGGTTTGACTGTGCACACTCTTTTTTGACTGGGTCCACGATTCAGACACAGCATATGTCTGAGAAGGCCCCACGAGGGATCATGGGGAGGAGGTGTGAGGAAAAAACTGTTGTGACATTGATTTCTTGGGCAACTTGGAATGGCTGTGGTGGGATCCAGAAACGACAACCTTCAACTGCTCTCTTCTCCATCAGCTTGGGAGCTTTTTCTGAGACGCTTGCGGGGTATGATAGCATCCTTTGTTGTTTGAGCATCTTTATCAAGATGCTAACAGATCTGCCTGCCTTTGATCAGTTGTGCTTCAAGGGAAGCTCACCAGTCCTCTGATTCTTTAATATTTTCCAGCCCAGATAGGTGTTAACCAAAGGATCTCACAATAGTCATCTCTTTGCAGGAGCAAGAAAGCACAGGAGAATCAGATGCACCACAAGAGAATCTTGCATGGAATGGCTTTCAAAGAGGACTAGACAATTGCATGGAGGAGAGGCCTATCAAAGGCAACTAGCCATGATGGCTATGCGCAGCCTCCCCTATTGGAGGGAGCAATGCTTCTGAAAAACACTTGCTGGAAGCCACAGACTCCCCAAACGTGTTTCACCAGGACCCCTTCCTTCCCTCTGCCCCAGTACCTGAGGGTTGTCACATCTCTCCAGGGATTTGGCCAGAACAAAGTATGTATTGGGAAAAGACTCCCTCCCTGCAAAGAATATGGAGGAATCAGCAGGTGCCTGGCTCCCAGCCATGCTAGCACCAGTCTGGCGCATGAGGGTGGGGTACACGGGAAGGAAGCATTCCTATAGTATAGGGCACTCAATTGGCATTTCCACCTACCTGAACTCTGAGCCTTTCCCACCTTGTTCTGGACTGCCTCTCTCCTAAGGAAGATGCAAGTTCTTGCTGCTGAAAGCCACTGCTGGGGTGTTCCTATGATTCCCAAATGTTTCAGAAGCATCTTTTTGTTCCTTTAGCTGCTTGATATAATCATAGCATGGCAGAGGTGGAAGGGATCCCAAGGGTCATCTAGTCAAACCCCCAGCAATGCAAGGATCCTGTCCACAGCCAGCCCTGGCTGGGCTCCAAACTCCAGCCTTCTGGTTACCATTGCAGTTCTGCATGTTGTGGAGAAAGGGGAGAGAGAAATGTGTTGCTTATACTCTCATAACACTGATATGAGATGCACACCATGCAGAACTTTCAATAAGTAAAGTCTAAAGGGCTGTCACATGGAGGATGGAGAAAGCTTGTTTTCTCCTGCTCCAGAGGCCCTTAGGGCCTGAAGCAGTGACTCTCCTTCCTTGGAGGTTTTTAATCAGCGCTTGGATGGCCATCGGCCATGGATCATCTAGTTGAGATTCCTGCATTGCAGGGGGTTGGACTAGATGACCCTCAGGGTCCCTTCCAAATCTACAATTCTATCATGCTATGTTTTAAAGAGCTTCCAATGCGCCTTTAAAGCACATTAAAAAGGTAAAGGGACCCCTGACCGTTAGTTCCAGTCGTGGCCGACTCTGGGGTTGCGGCGCTCATCTTGCTTTACTGGCTGAGGGAGCCTGCGTACAGCTTCCGAGTCATGTGGCCAGCATGACTTAGCTGCTTCTGGCAAAGCAGACCACAGCGCCACCCGCGTCCCCTTAAAGCACATTACTTCTTCCGAAATGATTTGTGCAATTGTGGCTTCCCTCTCACAGACCCACAATCCCCAGAACCCCTAACAGACTACAATTCCCAGGATCATTTGGGGGAAGACACCTGGTTTTTAGAACAGGGATGGAGAACCTGCAGTTTGCTCACCCCCATTTCCTGGGAACCAGGAATGGGAAGCTCAAGTGCTTCTAACGGTATGATTATAGGAAGCAGCGTGAATAAAATATTGTAATAGGGTTATTACGGTAATTGTATCAGAATTATTATGGGAATGTTAAGGAGGGAGGGGAAAAGAGAGATTGTGGAATTCTGGTGGTGAGTGATGATTGGATGAGGATTTGAAGGGGAGTTTAAATGCGAGGCAGTTTAGAGTCAGTTGAGAGCAGTGGGTTCTGGAGGGGGTGGTTGGGCAACTAACTATTCAGTTTAGGATCAGTAGTCTAGTCATCATTTTTGTAGTAAAGCAGCATATAAGAGAATTTGAGGCCATAAGCTCAGGTACACACATCATCATTTAGTGAATCATTCATACAATCTCCTTTAGTGAGGGTGTAGTACCTAGATTCTGAACCAAACATTGATATTTTTTGCTTTTTTATAGGAAGAATGTGGGTGGGGAGAATTCTGGGATTCATCTCCCAACCAGGGTGGACATTGAGCTCTCAAATTTAAAGGGTGCCCTGTGCAGTGCTAAAATTCAGCACCCTTCCCTCTTGTTCTTCAGCATTGTTTTGGCATCCTCTGCAGCGTGATGCCCAGTGAAAGCACACTGGTCGTGCCATCCTAAAACTGCCCAGGCCCAACCTTGGGATGTGGTGTTGGCATGGGAGAGGTCCTTGTCCTGCCCAGGTGGACCACAGATAAACACTTCCCGTAAAACTATAGGAATATCGAAATCAGGCCTCCTCCAGCTGGCAAGATGACTGGGAAACACTTCCCCTGCCACAGAAGGTCACAGCATACTTGCAAATTCTGGGTTTCCCCATGGCACCACTGGGCTGCTGCTGCTTGGCCACAGCCTTTCCCAAACCATGGCCCTGTGAAGAAAGAAGGACATTGTATTGTCTTGGCATAGGCATCAGCTCAGGGACAGGGGTCCCGTGGGCCCTTCCCAGTGCTTTTCTTCTGGGGTACAGCCCCCTCAATATTCTCTCTCCCTCCCCCCATCTGCCTTCCCAGCTCCCTCACTTCGTCTGCTGCCTCCCCCCAGCCACATCCCTCCTTCTCCTGTGTGGCACAGAGCAGCTCAGCAGCAGCACAGTGGACTCAGGGAAGGAGGGAGGCAGAACAAGCAGATCTGCCATGCTGCCCATGCCCACGTCACCACTGGCTGCCAATGCTCACTGCTCCTGCCTGGGCACACGACAGCCCAACCCCTTGCTTGGAAGGAGTGGGGCAAGGGGTTGGGGCGAAACGGGCCTACTCCCCACCCCAGCCCCGTTTTGCTCAGGTTGGCGCCACAACCTCCTGGCACATATGGGGAATGGATTCCCCATGGAATTAACATACTACGACTTCCAAGTTGCAGTTTTTATACATGGCAGCTTCCCCTTCTTTCTTTTGCTCATGAAGCCACAATAGCCCCTGAGGCCTTTTCTCGCAAGTATCTCACCATCATCTGACAGGTATCCCTCTTGCAGGGCATTATAAGGCTTGCTTGCAAAGCAGCACTTTGTGACATCAGCTGGCAAACAGGGGCCAGGCTGCTGGGTTGCCAGGTAGCTGAATTAATAGGAAGGGGGGGGGGCAAAGTGGGATGAGGCCACCATGGGTCAGGCCAGAGTGTGCTGTTGGGGTGTGGTTGTGCCTCCCCTTGTTCTCCATCTTGCTCCCCCGCCCGTTCCTTTAGCTGCTCGATAGAATTATAGCATGGTAGAGTTGGAAGTGATCCCAAGGGTCATCTAGTCCAACCCCCAACAATGCCAGGATCCTGCCCACAGCCAGCCCTGGCTGGGCTCCAAACTCCGACCAACTTCTTACCAGCCAGATGCACTGACCCCTTGCAATTCTGCATGGGATGGAGAAAGGGGAGAAAGAAACGTTTTGTGCTCTGTCTCAGGACACTGATATGAGCATGCCTTTGGGGGGTAAAGCCAAACAGTTGGAGAGTGAGTCCCTATTGAAATTCATGTTGTTACAGGTCTCCAGGCTATTATGGTTAGAAGGTTAGGAAAGGCCTCATCCTGAAACCTTAGGGGAACGCTTGTCAGCTGATTAAGACCAAGGCTTGGCAGAAGGCAGTCCACTGGTGCCTATCTAACGCCCTCTGGCTGCTGGAGTTTTAACAATCAACACAGGACTGGGCAGACTTTGAATGTCAGAGGCAGCAGTGCTTCTGAATACCAGTTGCTGGAAACCGCACAAGTGCTCCTCTGCTCAAATCCTACTTACAAGTTCCTCGCAGGCATCTGGTGGGCCACAGTGAGAACAGGATGCTGGACTAGATCGAGCCAATGCTCTTCTTATGTTCTTAACAAAGCACGTTCATTGTGTGGAAGCAAACCGAAGGACCCCGGGTGCCAACTTCAGCTGTCAGGCTAGCCTCCCTTGCTGGGCAGTTGTGCAAGGATGGAAGGGAGGAGCCTTCTGGGGAGGGAGGCCCAAGCTCCGTGGCATGTTGTTGTGGTTATCCGTCTGTCTGGGGAGACAATGGAAGAGGGCACCTAATTCAAGGCAAACGTTACTGTTTTTGTTCCTCTGAAACGTGAGCGCGAGCAATACGTTGGGAAAACACCGTCCTGCCTTGCGGGGCTGCTGTAAGGATAACGGAGAAACTCTTTAAGCCCCCCTCAAAGCGCTATAATAGGGGAGGGCAATGCTTTTCTTGGTTGGTTTTCCCAGTAGTGCTGTATGGAAGTGAGAGCTGGACTATAAAGAAGGCTGATTGCCGAAGAATTTACGCTTTTGAATTATGGTGCTGGAGGAGACTCTTGAAAGTCCCATGGACTGCAAGAAGATCAAACCTCTCCATTCTGAAGGAAATCAGCCCTGAGTGCTCACTGGAAGGACAGATCCTGAAGCTGAGGCTCCAAGACTTTGGCCACCTCATGAGAAGAGAAGACTCCCTGGAAAAGACCCTGATGTTGGGAAAGATGGAGGGCACAAGGAGAAGGGGACAACAGAGGACGAGATGGTGGGACAGTGTTCTCGAAGCTACTAACATGAGTTTGACCAAACTGCGGGAGGCAGTGGAAGACAGGAGTGCCTGGCGTGCTCTGGTCCAGGGGGTTACGAAGAGTCGGACACGACTAAACAACAATAATGCTTTTCTTCGGGGTGGGGGGCGCTGAGAGGGGGTCGAGTCCCCCCTCCTCCTCTCCATTTCTGACTGGGGTGACTGAGGGGGTAAAAGCAGAAAGCCGACAGCGGAAAATCAGAAGCCCCTTCGACTTCCATGGCAACGACACCAGGCCGCTTCGCCTCCCCTCAAGCCGAGAAAAGAGGCAGAGATGGAGGGAGAAAGAGAGAAAAAACGGCTGAGGGGAGAAGCAGCCGCAGCCAGGCCTTCCTCCTGCCGTTGCCGCGGCAGCGCCTCGGGGAAGCCTCGCGAGATCTTGGGAAGCCGGCTTCTCCCTCTCTCTCGTGAGCGGGAACAGGAGGAGAGCCGCTTGGCGAATGGGGTTGCGGAGGAGACGTCACGTGGCGCGGCGCGCGCGCGGGCTCCTAGGAAAAGGGGAGGGGCTGACTCGGAGGTGCGTGAGGGGATTTTGTTACCGGCGGGTGGCGGGAGGCTTTTGAGGCCTACTCGGGCCCGCCTCACCTCAGCGGGCCGCCTTCCCCCGTACCCTCCGGTCCTTTGCCTGAGGAGCGGCGGAAGGAACCCGGAGGCGGAGGGAAAATAGCCCCGTCCCTAGATAATTGGGATGAATGGATGGAGGAGGCGGCTGCGGTGGCGGCTGTGTTGTAGGCCCAGGCGTGGCCCCCTCAGGATGTGAAAGCCAGCCAGCGCGCCCCATTGCGGCTTTGTAAGTCGTAGCCCAGCGGCGTGTGAAGGGCCGCGAGTTTTCGCATTGTAGGGGGCTGGACTAGATGACCCTTGGGGGTCCCGCCCAGCTCCATGGTTCTGAGAGTCCTCCTGCCGGTGTCACCCGCAGTCCTGGCGGGGATGGCTGGGTTTTGTCATGCCTGGCCGGAGGCGGCGATGCTTCTGAATATTAAGTAATTCATTCTAAATGCCGCCCTTCCAGGTCCGCAGGACTGTTTGCAGGACACCAGGAAGGGGAGCTTGCTGCCCTGAGAGTCAAACTCGGGCGCAGACTCTTTTGTTCTGAGCCCAAATACCGTGTATCCATCTAGCCCAGTGTTTCCCAACCTGTGGGTCCCCCGATGTTGTTGGACTACAACTCCCATCATCCGTGACCAATGGTCATGCTGGGTAGGAATGATGGGAGTTGTAGTCCAACAACGTCTGGCGATCCACAGGTTGAGAATTATGGCCTCCTCTGACTCAGTAGATGCCTTTCCCAGCCTTACTAAGTGAGATGCCAAGGAAGGACACAGGAACCCTTTATGTGATGAGCGTGTGTTCTACCACTGAGCTGTGCTTCCTGTTTAAATGTAAGCTCATGAAGCTTCCCCATATCAGATCAAACCCATCAGTTCATCTCTAGTACAATTGCTCTGACTGCGAGTTCCTTTCCAAGGTCTTGCCGATTAAAATCCTGTTATCTGGAAATGTCAGGGATTACACGTGGGTGGTGCTCTGCCACGGCGCTGTGATCAGACTCTGCATTTATTAAACACATATAGAACAGCCTTGCCAAAGTTATGCAAGGCTGGGACTGAAGATCTAGGGGGCAGCAACACGAGAAGGGGCCTTGTACTGGCTACCTGATGGTGGAATGCTCTCCCCAGGGAGGCTTGCCTGGTACCTTCATTACAAATCTTTAGGCAACAGGCAAAAACATTCTCTTGGAGGTCTTTAGCTAATTAAACAATTTATGGCAATTTAAACTTGTGGGTTTTATATTGTAAACTTCCCTGTGATCCTTGGATGAAAGGCGGCATAGGAGCCAGGTCTTAGGGCTTGAGGTCTCTTCAGCCCCCCTCCCGTGGTGTGGGGGACACTAGCAGGCAGGGGCGGGGCTGGCATGTGTCCGGGGGGGGCAGGGCGTATGTCCTGGGGGCGGGGGGGGGCAGTCATGATGGCACCCTGCTGGGAACGTGCTGCCGGGGGGCAGGGCGCTACCCCCCCCCACTCCTCTTCCTCCACCAGTGCTCCCCCCCAAACATTTGAGGAGGCCGGGCATTGCCATTCAAATGGAGTGTGTGTGCTGTGTCTTGTGATTGTTAATGTGAGGCGGGGCTTACCTGCCCCCCCCCCATATTTCATTCAAGTTGGCACCCCTGAAGGGCTGTATAGAAATATAATAAACAATAATAATGTCTGGGCAACTGCATTTCGTAAGTTCCATGGAGGCAAGATGAAATATAAATAAAATAAAATTGACCAGATTTACACACCTTCAGGCAATACTGTAGCATTAAGTGGGCCCAGACCATTCATTTGGCATAGTGATATATTTTGAACATTAAGAAGTCACAGTTTTTCAAAGTTAAATCTTGCCAGTTGTTGTTTCTGGAATGCTCAAAATAACCAGCTGCTCTGCATAAAGAGATAATATGCTTTAAAGGTGAAGCGACAGGCTGCAATTCAAACCTCTTCTGCACTGGGTGGATTGGGCAATGAAGAACTCATCATTCTGCCCACCAAACATGCGGATCGATAGAAGTATTGCCAATGGAATCCTCACAGCAGCCTGTGGAAAGCCTCAGAATCGGCAGTTCTGGGGAACTGGGAGGGGCTGGTCTGGGATCCACTGGATCCTGAGCCAGCCCATTGGCAACATGTCCAATGCAGGACTTTCTGCCCTGGTTGGTGTGAGTTCTCTGGAGCTTTTTCCCAGGGAAACGTCCAGAAGGTTGCAGACTGGGCCATAATCCTATGCATGCTTATTTGGGAGTATATCCCCTTGAATTCAGTGGTACCTCTGAATGATTGTGCATAGAATTGAACTATGCCAAGTCTAAATTGCACCTAGTCAGTTGACAACATTATTTGACCGTTGTCAAATACAGTCGTACCTTGGTTTTCGAACAGCTTAGTTCACAAACAACTTGGAACTCAAACGCCGCAAACCCGGAAGTAGGTGTTCCGGTTTGCGAACTTTGCCTTGGAACCTGAACGTCCAGTGGCATGGCTTCTGCAGCTTCCAGTTGACTGCAGGATGCTCCTGCAGCCAATCAGAAGCCACACCTTGGTTTCCAAATGTTTCTGAAGTCGAATGGACTTCCAGAATGCATTTTATTCAAAAGCCAAGATACTACTGTACTGCCAAGTGCTCCAGAAACTATACTTTGTAAATGGCAGGTGATCTTTTTGTTTTATGATTTTGTTGTTTGTTAGCAAGTCTAGCTTGTGTTATTCCAGACTAAATGGGTAGACTGCAAAGCAAAGTGTATGGTCTTTTATCATTTGGAGAAGGGAGGTTCTAAAGTAAGCCTAAGAAACTATTCTTATCCCATTATGCTGCTGACTGGCTGGGGTTAGGATTGTGAAGGTGTCCCAGTGCTAAGACCATCACTAGACCTGCAGAGAGCTTGGTGGACAAAAAACTGCTGCCGCCACCAATATTCTCACAATTAATAGCAAGCAAATGGTCACAAAATGGACTGTTGCAGAGGCAGAAGCAACTGTGGGTTTGCCGGATCCAAACTGGTTCTGTTCCTCGAGGGGCTTAGATTTACATGATTGCTCTGCCCGCCTCCAATATAGGAATTGGGAGGGGGAGTTTGAAACACTGTCCTTGTTAATACTGTATTTTAGTAAAATGACACCTTGTACTTAAGGAAGTGTGCTGTTGATTTCAGACTCTGAGATCCTGACATGTCTGATGAAATATGCCCCAAATAAAATTAAATGGCATCACTGTGGACTTCCCATTTCAACCCTACAAATGTCAGGAAGAGTACATGTCTAAAGTGCTGGAATGCCTTCAAAAGGTAAGTAATCTTGAGAAATCACAGCCAGAGACCTCTGGAAGGCACTTCTTAAACAATGTTTAATAATGTGTGTCAAGAGTAAGAAATTTAGAGAGTAGTCATGCTGACATCTCTGAAATAACATAAGGTCCAGCATTTGGGATGTTTTGTTGGGAAAGAATAGATTACTCCTGGTTACCATTAGTTTGCTCTCAGACATAGTTGCAGTATTACACAATACATAATATATACAGGGGGGAAATATGCATATATTATGCATAACACCATGAGATTGCTGACCAAGCCATTGTTTTATAAGTTTTGAATGTTTCAAATAGATGCAAAAGTACACTGGTTCAAAATGTCTTCTTGAAGTAAGTTTTATTCTATATATGTGTTCAGTTTTGACTCCCATCGAATGAAATGCAGACTTGGCATGGTGAATGACACAGTTGTTTGTTTTATAAGTATCTTTGGGAGAATTCAAAGACAGCAGAGCATATATACTTGTGGCCTGCTTCACTGTGAATATCATGGACAAAATTATTATTTTTAATTGGATAAGCTATTTTGGGATTTTCATGTTATATTGCATTTTTGAACTAAATTTGTTCATTCTACAAAAGTATCTGCCTAATATTCACAGTTGTAAATGGTAGTATAATGTTCTGATTAAGTAAATGAAGTATCATGAGCTTGGAAGTAACTGGGTCATTTCTCAACTCACTCATGAAAATGGACAATGCAGTATAATGCTAAAAAAAATTGCCATGTTGTAAAGATTACTGTTGTTATAGAATATGAAGTGCTGAGAGCATTCAGGAGAAATGCTATTTAAATAATAAGAGTGCATTAATTTAGGCTGCAAATAATTTAGACCGCAATCCTTTGCGTGCTTACTCCAGTGTAAACTGCTGAACCTAGTAGTACCTACTTTCAAGTAAATTTGCATGAAACTGTTGATTTAGTTGATTTATTTAATTTTCATAAATCTGCAAGGGATAGAAACCAATAGTTCCGAAAGAAAAAAAATCATATTCTTGATTTTAGATGCACACATGTCACAGTAAGCATCTTAGAGGATGCTTCCATCTGCAATTATAAAATTTCAGGATGGTGTCACTCACCATGCTGCTATTAATAATCAAGAAACTGCAATGCTTGTTATTTAGAAGTAAGTCTTAAGGCAGCAAATCATATACTCATATACTGTTGTCAGTTTCCTGGGAGTAAGTGCCATGGAACTCTGTGGAACTGAATTTTGGATTAGGATTGTGTTTAGGATTGTATCTAAAGCTATGTTCGGCTTGCAAGTGGAATGAAGTCTGCTTGTGCCACAGGGTCTTGCCTTCCCCTTACATGCTCTCAAAATAATTTTCTGGCGGGTAGGTGAACCCTCTGGAGCACCTTTTAGGGAAATGTGAAAGTTTGTAGTGGGGAGGAGAGGAAAGTGAAGTGACAGTGCACAAGGAGAAATGCATTTGTGTAATGTTCAATTTCACTCCCAAATAAGTATTCTTTGTAACTTAAAATCTTGCATAAATTCCCGTCAGTTGAAATTGGCTAAATTCAAGACATTGACTTCCATTTCTTGTTTTTGAGATATATTTTTATACTGTTCAGAACAGATGCATTTTGAACATATGAAACCTGCTTAACACTTCCTGAAAAGAGGCTATTTTGCAAACCCTTCTCTTGTTAGTGCCAGACGTATCGCATTAGATCTGTTTGTAGAGAAGTGGGTAGGTGGGATTTCTCTTACACTTGCAGATGAGGGGAAAGAAGCAAATAAGTAGACCTTATGTTCATACAATCTGTTCTTAAGGCTTGAGAACTGAGACCATGCATTCCATTATCTCTTTTGCACGTCTGCAAGAAAATCTCTTAAGGAACCATTGTGCTCAGAGGCCATTTTGTAAATCTTTATTATTATCACTGTCCTACACAAGTGCCCTAACATCTGTTGGAGAAGCAAGGGGATCTGTTTACAAAGTGACAAGCAGGCCTTGCCGTTGCTGTAATGCTGTACATGAGTTTCAGGGACACTGCTCTGTAAAAAGTGTGCATAATTTCAAATGCAATTTATGAACAGAGTTTTTTTTCCTCTCCAAGAGTTCCAAATCACAGAGTTCCTGTTGTCAGACTTGGAACAATTGTTTAACTCTGCCTCAACACCAGTTTGAAGTGCCAACTAATTTAAACAGGTCAATTAAAACTTGTAATCATAATATTAGTGCATAAGAACTTTGGCATGTCTGCCCTAAAAACTGAGTCTGTCAACTTTCCGACCCTCTCACTGTCACCAACAATGCCTGTTTCTTTCTTAAGTACCGTATTTTTCGCCCTATAGGACGCACTTTTTCCCCTCCAAAAATGAAGGGGAAATGTGTGTGCGTCCTATGGGGCGAATGCAGGCTTTCGCTGAAGCCTGGAGAGAGAGAGGGGTCGGTGCGCACAGACCCCTCTCGCTTGCCAGGCTTCATGAGAGCCCCACTGCCAGCCCCGCAAACTCAGGGGACAGCGGGGAGGCGGAACGCCGCCATCCCGCTGTCCCCCGACTTGGTTAGAAGGCTGGCGGGGGGGAGAAGCCTGCTCCTCCCCGTCGCCAGCCCCGCAAACTCAGGGGACAGCGGGGAGGCGCAGCGCGCCATCCCGCTGTCTCCCGACCTGGTTTGGAGGCTGGCGGAGGGCTTCCCCCGCCTCCGCCCCGCACCTGGGGGGGGGGAGGAAATAATTTTTTCCCCTTTTATTTCCCCCCCCCCCCAAAAAAAAATCTAGGTGCGTCCTATGGGCTGGTGCGTCCTATAGGGCGAAAAATACGGTATTTCAGTCAGAGATGGCTCTAGATTAGAATAACCTTTGGAGCTCTATCTGTCTTGCTACATTTTCCTTTTCCAGTCTGGTAAAACAAGAAGCCAGAAAGAGAGCTTTGGTTGAAGTTTCTAACGTCATAGAATCAGAGTTGGAAGATACTTCTAGAACAGGCTGCTCACAGCAGGGTATTAAATTACTGTGGACATATAAATTCTCCAGTAAATGCTGAGTCAAATGAATTATGCAGATTAAGCTATACAGTGACAGCTAGAGAGAGCATTGTTCTTGGTCAATTTAACTAAAACATACAGCCCAGATGATATGTGCGCATCATCCTGTTTAGAGTGGTAACTTCCAGAGAAGACCAGGTGGCCAGCTGTGAGCCTCATTACTAGTTTGGTTCTCTCCTTAAGAGTTAGATTCTAACTGAGCAGCTAGAGGAAGCTGCCCTAGCTTTCCCAGTTATAGCTCACCCTGCATAATCTGCTACCTAGTCCTTCCTAGCAACCTGTCTTCTATCCAGGCTGCCAGCATTTGTCAGCCACTTACCATATTTTTCGCTCTGTAGGACGCACCCAACCATAGGACGCACCTTGTTTTAGAGGGGGAGAACAAGAAAAAAATATTCTCCCCATCTCTGCTCAGCGCTCCTTCAGCGAAGCGGCAGGAAAAATGGAGCCCCTTCCATTTCTCCTCCCACTTGGCTGAAGGGGCACTGCTCAGCTCTCCCTCTCTGCTGAAGCTGGGAGAGCAAGACTCTCCTGGCTTCAGCAAAAGGAACCTGAAGCTTCCGGAGCACAGCAGGAACTCGTGTTGCTATCGCTGAAGCCAAGGAGCCTGCATTCACTCCATAGGACGCACACACAGTTCCCCTTAATTTTTGGAGGGGGGAAAGTGCGGCCTATAGAGTGAAAAATACGGTATTTGTTTCTGTACAGACTCATGGGGAAAATGCTTGACAGTTAGCTGGCAGTTAAAGTGAATGTCCAGTTTTCTAATTATTTCTTTTCTCTACTTGTTACCATTATTTAAGCAAGTGAATGGGATTTTAGAGAGTCCCACAGGCACGGGGAAGACACTATGCCTCCTTTGTGCATCTCTGGCTTGGCGGGACCACTTCAAAGATGCCATCTCTGCACAGAAGATAGCCCAGCGACTGAATGGAGCAGAACTCTTCACTGACCGGCCAATGTCATCTTGGGGCAGCGCTACCACAGGTGCTGATATCCCAGGTAAGTCCTGGGTCTTGTGGTTCTGTAAGTAATGTCATGTTCATTTGGGAGCCACAAGGTGGAATTACCAGGGTTCTTAGACTGGACTGTTTGACCTTATAGAAGAAGTAGAAAAATGAGATGTGACAAGCTGGCAAACATTGCAGTTGCCCAGCCTCAATAGAGTCCCACACTGTAGTTGCAGAAATTCAGGTGCATGGAAGGTGGGGAACATGTGAACCTATGCAAACATTGCTGAGTGTTATGGTTAGTTTCTTTATCAGAAGCTAGAGAAAAACTTAGGGATTCTGTTAATTTGATTATTTCATCAGTGTTGGAATTTGCTCATTAGCAACCCAGTGGGACAAAGAATAAAGCATAATCAGTGATAAAAGACCACAGACTCAAGATCGTCTTTGAAACAAATCAGTTTATTGATGTACAGCGCTTCATTCAAATCGTATTATCTTCATATGGAAGTTAATGATATTTTAAACTTTGAATTATAACATAAAAATAAAGTAATGTAAGAGAGCAAGTTAACACTTAGAAAATAATATAGAGTAAGAATAGACTAAGATTATCATTGTAATTACATTGATAAAGGAGCCAATCAGAGTTTGTTTTTCCCCATTCTAACTGAAATTTTGGCCTTCTAACATCCTAAACATTGCTAAAGTTTCATAGCATATCTGGATTTCTAGGTTTTCTACCACACTTAACATTTTGGAATAAAAGTCCTAGTTACTCAACCAGTGCAGGGAGGGAACATATAAAAAAGAGTGGGAAAGGCGGCGACAGGAAGGAAAGAAAGAAGGAAGAGAGTGAGAATCAATTCTCAGAACACTTTTTATAGGAATTAGAAACTGGGCCAGGAAGATTAGACTTCCCATCTTTTGTGTCAATTTGATTACTTGCGTAGGTGATCCCACATAAGATGTAGACCAGGGGTTGTCAACGTGGTCCCTGCCGCCCACTAGTGGGTGTTTCAGGATTCTAGGTGGGTGGGAGGGGGTTCTACGGCACAAGCTGAATCCTCCTTCCATCGATGGTAAGGAAATTTTACCATCAAGAAAGATGCATGAGTGGGCGGTAGGTATAAAAAGGTTGACTACCCCTGATGTAGACTCTGGATATCCATAATCTATGGGTGAACATTTTTTCACCAAGGTCAGGTGCACCCTGACACATTCCAGCAATTCCTTTGAAACATTCTAGCAGTATCTATAATTCCACATCAGGAGCAATCCCATTCCTCCTCTCTTTAGGATCTTATTATACTGGTGGTGTAATGTTGTATTTAACATTATCATTAGGTTTTCGTCACCCAAGATGCCATGGTCTCACATGACTGTCTCTGAAATTCAGTAAAAAAATTTCAAGGAGCCTTCACAAAGTGGCACAGTGTTGATCCATCATGGTTGCTCTGCTGTAGTTGCTCACTCTTCAGGTCTGGCAGGGCCCAGATTTGCACTCTTCTTTACATTCTGATATTTTGGGGGCCTCTTTTCCTTACTAACTTCAGTATGTATAAATCAGGGCATTAGTTTTCACTGTCATTTGCAGATGCTTATCCTACAGGTGCTTCATAGAACGACTCTTAGCTAAAGTGATTAAAAATATGCACTCTTGTTCCTTATAGGTGAGTGGTTGAGTTGCAAAATCCGCCACTGCCTCCGCAGGCTGAGTTGTTACCATAGCACCAGAAGGGGAAAAGCAGACTGATGATATATTTAGCACTAAACAAGAACTAATTTTTTCCCTTTCTGCTTCCTCCCCACAATCCCCTTCTCGCCTTTCCCACTTGACAGCTTATTACACTGACGTTCCTAAAATAATTTATGCCTCCAGAACTCATTCTCAGCTTACTCAGGCCATCAATGAATTAAAGAACACAGTTTACAGGTAAAGAAACTTAAGATATTGATGCTTGCTCCAGGTGTGAAACAACTTGGGATATATGTGTCTGGCAATTTTTGTTTTAGCTGTATTATTGTTGATAGAAATGTTTTTGAAAACACTGGTTATATAAGCTGTCACTGAGACATTTTGCAGCCATAGTAAAGGAGCTCTCCCTCAACACAGAGGGAGCTTTTGCATATAGCTTTTGCAGAATATATTGCCCGTTAATGCTGAAAAGCTTATGCATTATGCCCTGCTTCATTTCCATGTTTGAAATACTTGCCACAACCCAACCATGTATATCTTCAGTGTCTTGTTTTGATTAAAATGTCAGTGCTTGTGTCACCCCCCCCCCTATTTAATAGGCCAAAGGTATGTGTATTGGGTTCCAGAGAGCAGCTGTGCATCCACCCTGAAGTTAAAAGACAGGAAAATAACCATACACAGGTAAGAGCATCAAAGTAAAACCGTACTGACTCTTGTTCATCCAGTGAGAGCTGTGGGCAGTGGGAATTTAAATCCAGGTCTCCCTCACTAATACTTTACCTACTTCATCCAGCCCATTTCTGGGCCCATTCCAAAGTTCTGGTCGGCTTTTCAAGCCCTCCACTGCTTAGGTAGGTGGCCTTTTCTGGGTGTCCACCTGTGGCATCTCTGTAGTGGCAGCCCAATGATTGAATGATCTCACCTGAAAGGTCTGCATGAAAGAGAGGTCCTGAAACCTACTTTGTCATTTTGGTGCCAGACAAAGACCTTTGTATGTTCTCAGGCCTTTCAGTCATAAGTTTAAATCCTGCTGATTGTTTTTGTTTTGCAGCCTTTAAACTCTTTTTCTTTTGGTGACTATTTGGACATTTTGGTTTGTTTAAAGTAAACCAAAAACCATATTTCTTTGGGGGAGGGGGCAAAAGCAGGTTGCAAATGGAGAATCAATAATAGATATGAAATAGATCGCTATGGAGCAGTCAAGTTACATGGCTTTCGTTATATGAATTATAGCATACTCTCTGCTGCTTAGTAGGGACGGATGTTTTTCCCTGTTCATTGTCCAGCAAAGCTTTTCTGGAAATTGCCAAGTAACAGCACTTTCTACTTGAACATTGTAGGAGAGCTTGCAGAACAATTTTTCTCAAATCCAGTTATCATATGTTGCCCTCTATTGAGAGCTACTTGTGGTAGTGATTTATATTGTGCCAGTAATGTACATGGTATTTTAAAGAGTTGCATAAATTAAGTAGATGGGTCCCTGCTGCAAGGAACTTACAATCTAAATTCCAAAGGAAATAAGGGGTGAATAGGAGCAAGTGCAATTATACACTTATTTGGGCTTCATTATGTTATGCACTGAACTGGAATTCATATTGTTTTGCAGATCCACATGTGCCGTATGAAGATAACAACTCGCACATGTCATTTCTATAACAATGTGGAAGGTATGAATAAACGTTTGTGAAAGTAATTCTCAGTTTGGGAGTCTGGTAATTGATGTTGGGCTGGTTTTATATCAGTCTTTCTGTTGACTACTTGCATGTAACCGTTTCTTCCGGGCAAAACTGCCAGCCTCTGCTGTTCATTTTTGTTAGGTTTGTAAGCATCATTAACTAGTTTAGATTGTACAACCCATACTTGTCTGTGCGCTTGTGAATGCTTTCCTTTCAGGTAGATATTGGCTAATTTAGTTCTCAAATTGCTGGCTGTGGAAACTGGATTCCCACCTAAGAAATTGACCTAAGAGGTTCAGATGTGGCAATTTCCTGTGTTCAGTGGGCTACATTCCAGCTAGGCAAAATGTAAAGGTTTCTAAATATACCCCCATGCACACTTCTCCATTACCCATTTAGGCAGACAATAGGTATAATTGTAGCCAGGTAAAAGCACACAAGGAGGGTGCAGACCAGATGAGCGAATTAACCTGGTGAGGACGTGTGGGAAAAGTCCCAAGGGTGAATAGAAGCACTTACAGAAGGCTGCGTTTCGGCCCTGGGCCTGAAGTTCCCCAACCCCTACATTGCGGAAGGAACACTACTGAAAAGCTCTCCACCATGCCACCATAGCGCTAGTCCACAAGAATTCAGTTATAAGTGCAGATGCTGCAATATCTAAAGCGAGACTTCTCAAACATAGTGCTGTTTTGATATACAGTGGTGCCTCGCAAGACGAAAAGAATCCGTTCTGTGATTCTCTTCGTCTAGCGGTTTTTTCGTCTTGCGAAGCAAGCCCATTGACAGATTAGCGGATTAGCGCTATTAGCGGCTTTTAGCGGCTTATCGGCTTATCGGATCAGCTGATAAGCGGCTTAGCGGCTTAGAAAAAGGGGGGGAGGAAAAAAACCCCGCAGGAACTCGCACGACATTTTCGTCTTGCGAAGCAAGCCCATAGGAGATTCGTTTTGTGAAGCACCTCCAAAACGGAAAACTCTTTCGTCTAGCGAGTTTTTCGTCTTGCGGGGCACCACTGTAAGATCCAGAAGGGCTGAAGCTCAGTGGGAAAGTACATCATTTACATGCAGAAGGTCTGAGGTTTAATCCCCAGCAACCCCAAGGAGATGGGGCTGGGAAAGTCTCCTTTGAAACCCTGCAAGCATTTGCCAGTCAGTGTGGATGATACTGAAATAGATGAACCAAAGATCTGACTCCGTATAAGGCAGCTTGCTAGATTGCTAAAAAGTAGCTGTGCAATGAGGTACCATTATCCCAAAGGTTTTTGAAATTATCATCCTGTCAGAAAGTCTCACTTATATTGAATTCTTAATTCAGTATATAAACTTCACTTGGAAGATAGCTTCCAAGAAGTAAAGCTGGGGGAACCAGGCAAAGGGCCTTCTTGGTGGTGGCGCCCATCTCCCATCGGATGTCAAGGAGATGAGTAACTATATTACATTCATGAGACATCTGAAGGCAGCCCTGTATAGGGAAGCTTTTTAAGATTTAATGTTTTGCTATGTTTTTATATATGCTGGAAGCTGCCCAGAGTGGTTGGGGCAACCCAGTCAGCTGGGTAGGGTACAAATAATAAATTATCACTATCATCGTCATTTTAGCAGTGTTGAAGTTCAAACTTATGCCTCTAGGTAGTCAACTGGTTTTAGAAAGGCACTGACTATTATACCATGCACATTCAGCTATAGTTGGCATTATGTGAAGTGACCTGCTTGCACATTCAGAGACAATAAGGCCTAGGAAGGTAAAAGACTGCCCCCCTGTATAAGGAATACTAAGAGCCCAGAATTTGGGGACCATAGAAAGTGGCACTGATCAATAATTTCAGGTTAAAATAAATCTCTCTCTCTCTCTCTCTCTCTCTCTCTCTCACACACACACACACACACACACACACACACAAAGACACATACATAATGGGTGGGGGGAGAGAGATGGTGCCATCCATGAGCATAGCTTGCAGAGTGTGTCATCTGCATATAATGTGGTATCTTATGAGAAACATAATTAAGAACTAAATCAACAGATGTTCAGATATTTTTGGAACCTTTCCTGGAATGTGGAAGCAGCAGGCTCTTATGTTCATATAATCATGTAAGTTAAAGATAGAAGGAGCAATCCATCAAGTGCTGTTGATGCGCAACCTGCATTAATTTTAAATGTGATTTGTGCAGGAAATGGGCAGAGGTTGCTTAGCAGCAGTGTTGGGTGGTTGCACCCAGAAAATGATAATTAAGGGTGCAGATGAAAGTATATAATTTAAGCAGCAGGGTCATCGTGGAATCGTACTCACTACATTTTGTTCACAAGTAGAGTTCAGGGGAAATGCTTCTGCTTTCTGCTAGGTTGCAGCAGAAGTCAGCTGTGCACTACAAATTAGCTGGTGCCTCTGATGTCATGAATCCATGTCTTGCCCCATTGCAGGCAGGTTGTTTTTTTTAATTAAAAGGGAGGGAAAGGACTTGCAGGTTTGCTTGTTTTAGGGCTGCAGTATTAATTGATTCATCAAATGAATAAATTAAAATGGTAGAACTCAATTAAAATTTTAGGCCTGATTAATTGGGCATTGCCACTATATCATCCAATCTTTTATTAAACCCCCAAGGGCATCACCCTTTCTCTTCTGCTCAGCTAGGCACTGCTTCTAGTGGAAAATAGGATATCATCCCAGGGCCCCCCTGTGATGATGAAGGGGCCTCCAGGATGACATAGCATTCCTCACTGAGAAGAGTGTTTGGTGTAGGACGAGGCTTTTCTCCCCCAGTCTAAATATGCCCAGTTCTTTCAAACTTTCTTGATAGGACCTGCTTTCCATAATCCTGACCACCTAAGGCAGGGGTTGGCAAGGTTTATCTTGCCTGGGCTGAATCGGTCCTGTAGGGATCCCTCTGTGGGCCGGATCGTGCGCGTGTGTGAGCGTGCACGCCCACGATTTTCGGTGTGTGCGCATCCACAATTTTCAGCGTCTGCACAGATGCAATTTCCGGCACCATGGAAGTGAGTCCCTGCACCGCGCCGGTGTAGCTCAAGTGGGCAACTCGGTTCGGGGGCTGCTCGTGGGCCGGTCAAACGACCTCCGCAGGCCGCTTCTGGCCCATGGGCCTTAAGTTGGTGACCCCTGACCTAAGGCTACAATCTGGGGAATTTGGATTGGGCAGAGGTGTCCTTTGCCCAGCCCTTCTGGCCACCCAGCTCTGGAGTGATGCCAACATTTCTCTGCTAGTGTGGAACTCAGCATTCTACCTGCTGAATGGGTGAGCAGGCCCAAAATGGGATGTTCAAGGAGCCGGGAATAGATGAGCCAGCCTGGGATCTGCTGGAATATGCTAACTCCTCTTTTCTTTTCTATAGAGAAGAGCACTGAAAAAGACCTGATCAGCTCCATCTTGGATATTGAAGACCTGGTTAAAAATGGGAACAAGCACAGGTCACAATTCCTCTTCACTTTCTCTTTCTTTATGCCTCTCCCCATATGAACCAACACGGACTCTATGTTCATCATCTTAGGTCCGTGTTCATGTGCCTCCTTCATGAGAAATCCAGAGGGTGGCAACATGAGAAGGAGCCTTTTTTGCAGTGACTCCCCTTTTGTGGAATTCTCTCCCCAGGAAAGTTGCTGGCTGCCTTCATTGCATATTTTAGGTGCCAGGCAAAACACTTTCTCTATAGCCAGGTCCTTGGCTGATTAACATGTTATGGCCTTTTAAATGAGTTTGTGGGGGGGTTTATTAGTTGGTTTTTGTTTTATGAAGTTTGTGTTGTTATGTTGTGAAATGCCCTGTGATCTTCAGATGAAGGACAGTATACAAATTTCATTAACAAACAATTATTAATAATATTAGCAGTATATTCTCAATAGATAATTGCATTAGTGCTGAACTGAAATGAGGAAAGGATTCAGTTTTGACAGTCTTTCAAAATTCAGTCGTTGTGCACAGTAAATTTGTGCATGTATTTGTATATAGGAAATGTATATGTGCATGTATATAGGAAAATATAGGAAACTTTTCTAGTATATTAGGAAAATGCTCTTTAAATATGAAGTGCTCAAACAATTTCATATAGTCTGTGTTGGTAATCCATACACCAAACCTGTGAACATGGGGATAGGCTTAGACTCAGATGTAGTGGTTTGATTTAATAACGCCCAGTGAGTTCATGACTAGGCTGAAATTTGAAGTGGGGATATTGTCGTTTGTCGCTCACACCTTCAACCACCATGCCATGCAAGTTGTTGTATGATCTTTCTTTGAATAGAAAGCGCTGGCTGCATTCACTTACATCTACATACTTGATTATTTCACAAAGAGTCAACCCAAATGTTTTATTTGTTGGTTAAATTTATATCTTACCCTTCCTTCCAAAGGAGCATTAATCAATCATAAATAAAATCGGTATTGCAGAATTTAGAAATTCATTAAAGAAGGGCATGGAAAAAGAAAAACCCACTGTTATATGAAATTGCTGCTTCATTTAGTCATAGAAAGATTAGGGACTGAATTGCATTCCTTTGGCTAGGGAATTCAAAATCTCCAGTGCAAGTCTGTAAATACCAAGACATCTATGACTAATTATCAAACAAGTGCTGTTGGATCTATACCACTGTAGCTGATGTTCATACACTGATAAGCTCATCAGGTGGGAGATAATTCCAAATCTCCCTTTTCTATACTTTCTAAATCATGAACAATCCATCTTTGTAAGCATAAGCCCCATGACACATCTAATTAAGTAAACAGATATTTGCTTAATGGGCTATAAAGCTGTGATTGAAAAATGACTACATGATATAAGCACCCCCCCCTTGTGTAATGCTTTATCAAGGTTCCTTCTCTCTTTTACAGTTTATTTTCTTGGTTGAAAGCCTGGTTTTAAAAAATATTATTATTATTATTCCCCAGCCACTCTGGGCGGCTCCCAACAGAATTAAAAGCACAATAAAACATCAAACATTAAAAACCTCTCTGAACATGGCTGCCTTCAGATGGCTTCTAAAAGCCAGATAGTTGTTTGTTTCCTTGACATCTGATGAGAGGGCATTCCACAGGGCGGGCACCACTACTGAGAAGTTCCTCTGCCTGGTTCCCTGTAACCTCCCTTCTTGCAGGAAGGGAACTGCCAGAAGGCCATCAAAGCTGTAAAAGTTGAATGCCTTAAATCTGGGATAGGCAAACTCGGCCCTCCAGATGTTTTGGTTCTACAACTCACATCATCCCTAGCTAACAGGACCAGTGGTCAGGGATGATGGGAATTGTAGTTCCAAAACATCTGGAGGGCCAGGTTTGCCTATGCCTGCCTTAAATGCTAAGCTTACTAGCAGCCTCTGCACCACCACCTTCTTTTATCTCGCTGCCTTTGCAGGGTCAAGGATTTATTCCCAGCATTCTCTTTTATCAGATGAGAGAGGAGACGGGCCCATGTAAACCCACCAAACCATCTGCCTTTAAGACTAACCCATTAAGAAGCTGACAAGAAACCCCTGAGAATATTAATAAATGACTGTGGAAAGCATGTTGGTTGTCTTGTAGCACTGTGTACATTTCCCTCCCTCTCTCTTTAAACAGAGTTTGCCCTTACTATCTTTCTCGGAGTTTGAAGCAGCAGGCAGACATCATTTTTATGCCTTACAACTATTTACTGGACCCAAAGGTATGTGGGGTATTATTTTAAAATTCAAGGGTGTTTTACTGAATATTTTAAGAGGATTTTGGTGGATATGCCAGTAAATTGCTTAATTAACTCATTACAGGAAACAATACAGATGCTAAATGCTTATCACGTAAGGCAGAAATACATATATATACATGATGATTAAACCCAAAAAATTAATTTGTGTTTCTTTTATTTTAACATATTTCCTTCTCAGAAAGGGAGATAGTTTTGTTCACTAGTTTTTTTGTTGGAACTCGTCATGTAGCATTTCTTTCTTTCTTTCTTTCTTTCTTTCTTTCTTTCTTTCTTCCTTTCTTCCTTTCTTCCTTTCTTCCTTTCTTCCTTTCTTCCTTTCTTCCTTTCTTCCATCCATCCTTCCAAATATGTTGAATATTGTTTGGTTTGTTGAGCTTCCCTGCTGGGCTAGGCATACAATGGAGAACTTCAGTTGCTTTCTTTGTTTTCATCATAGAAACTTTCCCAGCTAAATTTCTCCCTTCAGTATAACAAATTCAAATCACAGGAGTCTCTGCATATCTCCCTGTACTAACAAGGCTAGTTTAGTGGCGGTGTGACAGGCAAATTAGAGCCATGTGGTTCTTGATCCACCTTGAATATGGTGCTATATACTGAGTATTAGAAGCCTCTTTGAGATCTGCTTTTAGAAAAGACTGCTGTGTAGCTTTTATTCTCCCTTACCCCCTTCTTTTGAGGGCTAAAAACCTTTTCTTTAATCATTACTGCAGCTTACCAGGATCGAGTGTCCTGTACTGGGTGGATAATAGTGAAATCCCAGTACAGGTCACCATTTTGGGATTGTAGCAATTCAGATTTATGGATCATTTTCTAGTTATGAGGTTGATTGAATAATAGGGGTTTCTGATGTGCTGACAAAGCTGTTTCACTGTTTTTCTTTGTAAAATATGCACTGAAGAAGCAAAATGACATGCTGCTTTGGTTTATTGGCATTAACTGTTCCTCAAACACGTGTGTGCAACAGATAACACCCACACACAACTTCCTGCTTGTTGTGGGATTTTAAAGGATATTTTGATGGATTGCCTTACTGTATGTTACTGGTTTTGATTATACTTGCTGTAATTTTTTTTAGATACTGTTGTGCACCACCTTTAGATGTCTGCAAAACAGGCATCATATAAAATATTTAATAAATAATAGGTTCGCAAGGAACACCTGTGTGAGTGTCATTGAAATAGAATTTTACAGGGCCATGTTGCACTTCTTTCATTGGGCCATATGCAGCTGCCATACCTTGATAGACTGCTTTGTGATGACAGACATTTAAGGGTGGTGCAAATAGTTGTAAACAAGTTGTCCCTGCCATCCTGCCTCACATATCTCCCACTTTTTTTAAAAAAATAGAGTCGAAGAGCTCACAACTTGGACTTGAAGGGGGCTGTAGTGATACTTGATGAAGCTCACAATGTGGTAAGAAAAGATGCCCCTGGCTTCTCTCCATTTTTAACAGGCAAAGAGCCTTGTAGGTATGTTTTCATATAAGAATTCAAGTAATCTGTGACTATTTGTTCCCTCAATAAGTATTGAGCAACTGAGATGATAGGTCATAGAATCATAGAATCCATAGAGTTGGAAGAGACCACAAGGGCCATCAAGTCCAACCCCCTGCCAAGCAGGAAACACCATCAGAGCACTCCTGACATATGGTTGTCAAGCCTCTGCTTAAAGACCTCCAAAGAAGGAGACTCCACCACACTCCTTGGCAGCAAATTCCACTGTCACTGGTGTTATTTTTAAAAGAATACTCTCTTCATTTGGTCCTTTGATAATGTTGGCTTCGTAGAGCAGGAATTGTCCTGACAGACAGACGCAAAGTGTGTGCATAGCTGATGTGGTTAAGAGTTTACACTACAAGTGTAACTTTTTGTCTACACCCGTAGGAAAAGATATGTGAAGAGTTGGCATCGTTTGACTTGACACCCTATGACTTAGCTTCAGCTGTGGATGCCATTAACATAGTTCTGGAAGAACAAGTGAAAAACGTTCAGCAGAATGAAATCAACTCTGAATTCAATGTGGAGCCTGCCAGTTCAGGTAGATTGCCTGTATAGGGCAGTGATTTCTTGAATGCAACAAGAGATTCATTGGGCTGCATGCTTTTAGAAATTACTCTTAGGTTCTGCAAAATCAGTCTTCAGAACGTGGATTTTGGTTGCTAGGCAGTTGACGTATTAGGATTATGGCTGGCAACTCTTCTGTGAAAACCCCAATGAAAGAAAGATACTTGTGCAAGAACATGAAAATCTTTTGTGCAGCTGTGTATTAATGCCAGTGAGGCTTTTGCAAGAGTTTTTTCAGTGCATTCATTGAGCTTGTTTTAAAGGGATGTGTGCTTTGCATGCCAAGGCAAATCCAGTATAAATTAGGTACTTAAAAGCAAATTGTTTAAATGGCGCTTTTGATATTTGTGCTTTGGATTTCTGGGTTTTGGTTTGGAGAGTTGGTCAAGGAGAGAAATGAAGAGCACATAAAGCCTGCAGGATAGCCATCAGACTACTTTGCAGCCTTCCTGGCCTCCTCTCTTCCACTCATTCACAATCAAAGTCCAATAAGCATTTAACAGGCAGTGCATGTACATTGCACTTGGAAAGGTACATTAGTGTACAATCTAAATATTGAGATTTATACAGGATGGGTTGGGGGAAGAGACATTGATACAGTATTGCACTGGAAACTGCCTGAATAAGAATTCTTTCTGAAACAGGATTAAACATGGAGCTTGAAGACATTGCAAAGATAAAGCGTAAGTACAATTATTAGATTCATATTTTGTCTATAGAGAAGTTTTTTAAAAAAATGTTTTGGCAATGGGTGGCTTTCAGTTTAGCCAAGAGGATCATGTAGCTGATTACTCTCTATTGCACAGATATTCCAAATTTTGTACTTTATAACCACTTTGGTGCAGTAAATTAAAGATCTGTCAACGTAGGTAGTATGTGAAAAACTGAATGCCTTGAACAATACCCAAAGAGACCAGAGGAACATTTATTAAGGGTTGTGTGCGTGAGGGGAATGCACAGTATCCCTTGTGGAAGCAAATTCCTAATCACTTTGGTTTGAGAGAAACATACATGGTGGATGAGAAATGCTAGCTAATTTACTGACAACTTGTTGAATACTGAAGGATATTTCATGTTTATGCATTTGGCTGGCAAGCTACTACTCATTTGCATATTTTAATTGCCTGTAAACAATGTAATTTGCCTGTCATTTTTATGATATTGGCATATGGCAGATCATTGGTTGACTGGATTCTACTTATCTTACTCAGAAAGTATTACCCCCAAATGTGAAAATCTTGTGTCAGCCCTAGAAAAAGTCCTTTGCTTTAGTTCTTTAGTTCTTTTTAAAAGTTATGTCCTGCTTTTCAGCAACAAGCCCACTGAGGTGGCCTGTTGTGTAAATGTGGCAATGCAACCTCCCCACCCTGAGGGAGTGTGTCACTTAGAAGGAGGCCTTTTCTTGTTGGGAAGGCAGTGAGAGAGTGCCTGTGTTGCAGTCTCGTCTGAGGAGAAAGAGCAGGATAATTTGGTTATATGCCAGCTGCATAAAATTCCTCCTCTTCCTCTGTTTGCCTTCAAGAGATTCTTCTTCAGCTAGAAAACGTTATAGATGCTGTCGAGCTGCCACCAAGTGGAAGTGGACTCACTAAGGATGGAAGGTATGTTTCAGGAGATACAAAGCGTGTGCCAAGTTGGCATTTCTTGTTTTTGTGTGCCTGCCCATAGACTCATAAAATTGCTTTGTTGCTTGTTTTATGGTGTAGGGTGTTTCCTTGAGAATCTTGGGCCTGAGTCACCCAGGTTTTCTGGAGCTCAGTTGTGGCTGCTGGAAATTGTAGCTGCAAAGAGGTTGCTTGACGAAGCAGGACAAAGGGTCAGACTGGGACACTCAGTTCAAACCCTTCCTTGCCTGTGAAGCTCACTGGGTGTCCCGTCAGGTCAAGTAGCACATTATAATGCTTAGACTAGTAAGCAGTGAAGCTCATTTGGAGGCCTTGGGGTACCTCCTACCTCTCTGCTTAACATATTCTACAAGGTTGTTATAATGATAGGGAATGAACGAGCCATTTATGCCACCTTGAATGATAGGTGGGATATAAAAATAATAAATTAATGAAATATTGCTTAGCCTGCCCTATCTCGCAGGTTGGTTTGGGAGGATAAAATGTCCAGAGGATACACTATTGGGGGAAGGGTTGATTACAAATACCAAATAAAACAAATCACTCGACTTTCATCAAGCCACTGCATTTCACATTTTCAAAAACAGATACTATTTTTTAAAAGAAGGTTTCTAGCCCTCATGTTTATGGAGGCTCATCAAGCTTTGGTAGGAGGTGGTGGATGGTATTCAACTAAGGTTAAAGGTGAAGGTACCCCTGACTGTTAGGTGCAGTCGCGGACGACTCTGGGGTTGTGCGCTCATCTCGCTCTATAGGCCGAGGGAGCCAACGTTTGTCTGTAGACAGCTTCCAGGTCATGTAGTCGGCATGACTAAGCCGCTTCTGGCAAAACCAGAGCAGCACACGGAAACGTTTACATTCCTGCTGGAGCGGTACCTATTTATCTATTTGCACTTGACGTGCTTTTGAACTGCTAGGCAGGCAGGAGCTGGGACTGAACAACGGGAGCTCACCCTATCGCGGGCATTCAAACTACATATTTGATTACCGCTCTCTGTTACGGAATAGGTTCTCCATACTTAGAGGGAGGAATTCAACATGGCATTAAGCAGATTGCTCTTTCAGCGCAAGCTTTTCTGCTTGTCTGATGGAATGATCTGCCTTTTCCTTCCCCCACCTGCTGTCCTGGGGGTTCTCCCACTCTCCCCAGAGCTTGTACTGTCAGTGCTCATTAGCTGAATCTCATCCACTTTATTTTAGCACATCCTTTGTAATAATTCTCCTTCTAGCTGTTCCTTTCTGTTGATTCAGATCTAGGATTAAATATTCTTTAGGCTTAATCCTAGTTCCTTTAGAATTTATCTGAAATCCGGGGTTGATTCTGAGTAGTTCTTCTAACTCTATATACATAATGTTTATATGTGCTGAGAACCGTAGAATACCTTAGTGAGAAATGGAGTGAGACTGTTTTGTATTTTGTACTTTGGTTAGCTACTAGGATAAGACTCAGTATTTTGTTTATGTTTCTTCTTGAAATTACAGCTATATATTTGACCTGTTTGAAAAGGTCCAAATCACATCCCAAACCCAAGCATCTCTCCTTGAGTCACTGGAACAAATCTTACAGTATTTAGCAGGCCGTAAGTGTACACATTATACTTTGGAAAAATAGGGGGTGGGGAGAAAGTCTGAAAGTAGAGTATAATATTGTGAGAGTGCACAGCATTGCATGAGCCCAAGAAACAGGCCTGAAAATAGTTAAGGTACATCTAGAGAAAATGAAACAAGGCAGGAGAGAACTAGAATACAGGTGAGAGATTCATGGTGAATATGATTGAACACAAGAACTCATTATGAAACCTATTCTGTATGGTGGGGATGGTGAATAAGCAACAGAGGTCCATGGGGAGAGATCCTAGAATCTTCAGAGGCATCTTATGATAAGTTTGCTAAACATTTTGAGTATACAATTTTTTTTGTCAAATGTTTTGAGTTTACTTTTGTGAAAAAGAAGAAAAGTGACTAATAAATGTAATAAATAAGAATATGTAATAAAATTGCTTATATCTTCTCTGACCTTGATGCCTCATTTGTAACAGTGTTTGGGGCTATTACCAGAATGCCATCAGGGCCAAGTTCGTGGGATGAGTTTCAGTTGATGTGTCCTGAGGATGTAGACGGGGTACTCTGTGGCTGATCTTTTGTGTCCTTCCCCTTGCCCATGATGGCTAATTATTTCTAGTAAAAGGAGATTGAGTCCAGGAAGTACAGTGGTACCTCCAAATGTGAACGGGATCCGTTCCGGAGCCCCTTTCGCATCCTGAAGCGAACGCAACCTGCGCGGATCGCGATTCACCACTTCTGTGCATTCATGTGACGTCATTTTGAGCGTCTGCGCGAGCGGCGAAACCCGGAAGTAACATTTTCAGTTACTTCCAGGTCACCGCGGAATGCAACCTGAAAAAGCTCAACCTGAAGCAACTTCAACTTGAGGTATGACTGTAATTAAGGCCTGATTTGCCCCTATTGGAATTCATTTTGTTAGTTTTGGCCAGGGCACTGTAACAGATGCCAGAATCTTTGCCCAGTGCCTCCATGCCTACAACACAGTGTTCATAAATGGATTTTTGATGATTGTGAGAAAAGTCATGTAAAAATGTTACAATATTCTCCCCTGCCTTTAGGTACTGGCATATTCATCAATACAGCTGGGTTGCATAAATTTACAGACATAATTCAGGTAAATATATGTTGCCTCCTCTTTTGTAGTTTCAAAGACTGAAAGGCACTATGGAGAGAGTTATAAATTCAGTAATAGCATTCCAAGTGAGCTTTTCATGTCATTCTGTGAATATCTTCATAATGCACATTATGTAAACCTGGGGCAAGTGGGTAATTAGAGAACAGGACGGTTAAAATCACTTTACAGAATTCTGCTGCACTCTCATGTTCAAGCTGCTCAGGTCCGAAGCTGTGATAAGGTAGGGTGGTTGGTTGTGTTTGTGTAAGTTTATTATGGTGAAGGAAAAAGAAATTTTGCTTGATGGTGCCAGCAATCAAGGCTGTGGTCATTTCCACTTGGTATTCTTTGAAGAGAGGCTTTGAATGCCAATTTACTGTGCACAATGGAATGAGAGTTCTAAGGGATGTGGTCTGCATTTTTCAGTTTAGAAACTGTAGCATATTTGTGATTCACTGGAACATAACTGGGGGAGATTTAAGGAGACCAGATTGAGCTGGTGCAGTGTAAACCAGGCATAGACCACTGGTCATTTTAGCTAGGGATGATGGAAGTTGTAGTCCCAAAACATATGGAGGGTCGAGTTTTCCTGTGCCTGGTGTAAACCTTTCCTGCAGATCAAGAACAAATCCTATGGGAATCCTATCCGTTAGACACAGTAACCTCTATGTTTGCTTTGAGCACTGGATGGGTCTTGACCGGAAATGCTGGTGAGGGTGACCAGGATGATGATAGAGTCTGGGGGAAAAAGAGCAGTAGAAAAATCTGGGTATCTTTAGGCTGGAGATGAGGAGGAGGATGACCAGGAAATTGACAGTGTCTAAAACCAAGAGGTTAGGTATGTTTAGTCTGCAGAAGAAAAAATTAAAGGGAGATGCATTTGCTTGTGGTATTTCCACATAGGTTTTCATTTCAAATCTTCTAGATTCCAGACAAGTCATTATCCATTGCAATTACAGTGGTGCCTCGCAAGACGAAATTAATTCGTTCCGCAAGTTTTTTCTTCTTGCGAGTTTTTCGTCTTGCGAAGCACGGTTTCCCATAGGAATGCATTGAAAATAAATTAATGCGTTCCTATGGAGACCGCCTTCAGACCAGGTCCAGGGACAGTCTGTCCCCAGACCTCTTCTGAAGGCTGGCGGGGGGAGAAGGACTTTTCTCCCCACCGCCAGCCTTCAGAACAGCCTTCTGAAGGCTGGCGGTGGGAAGAAAAGCCCTTCTCCCCCCGCCAGCCTTCAGAAGAGTTCCCGGAGGGCTGCCTAGGCTGCGGATAGCAGCCTGCTGCCCGGTGCGAGGCAGACATCTGCAGCTTGGGGAGCCCTGCAGGAGTTCCCCGCAGGGCTCTCCAAGCTGCGGATAGCAGCCTGCTGCCCCGGCGAGGGGCGCTCTGCTTCAGAGCGCCCCTCGCGCGGGGCAGACATTCGCAGCTTGGGGTGCCCTGCAGGACTTCCCCGCAGGGCTCTCCAAGCTGCGGATAGCAGCCTGCTGCCCCACACGAGGGGCGCTCTTAAGCAGAGCGCCCCTTGTGCGGGGCAGACACCTGCAGCTTGGGGAGCCCTGCAGGACTTCCCCGCAGGGCTCTCCAAGCTGCGGATAGCAGCCTGCTGCCCCGCACGAGGGGCGCTCTTAAGCAGAGCGCCCCTCGCGCGGGACAGACAGACACCTGCAGCTTGGGGAGCCCTGCAGGAGTTCCCCGCAGGGCTCTCCAAGCTGCGGATAGCAGCCTGCTGCCCCGCACGAGGGGCGCTCTTTAGCAGAGCGCCCCCCGCGCGGGGCAGACATTCACAGCTTGGGGAGCCCTGCAGGACTTCCCCGCAGGGCTCTGCAAGCTGCGGATAGGGGTAGCAGGCTGCTATCCGCAAGCTGCGGATAGGGGCAGCAGGCTGCTATCTGCAGCTTGGAGAGCCCTGCGGGGAAGTCCTGCAGGGCTCCCCAAGCTGCGAATGTCTGCCCCGCGCGAAGGGCGCTCTGCTTAACAGCGCCCCTTGTGTGGGGCAGCAGGCTGCTATCCGCAGCTTGGAGAGCCCTGCGGGGAACTCCTGCAGGGCTCCCCAAGCTGCGAATGTCTGCCCCGCGCGAGGGGCGCTCTGCTTAAGAGCGCCCCTTGCGCGGGGCAGCATGCTGCTATCTGCAGCCTAGGCAGCCCTCCGGGAACTCTTCTGAATGCTGGCGGGGGAGAAGGGCTTTTCTTCCCACCGCCAGCCTTCAGAACAGCCTTCTGAATGTTGGCGGTGGGGAGGAAAACCTTCCTCCCACCGCAAGTCTTCAAAACAGGTCCAGGAACAGAGGAGAAGCGCTGTGCGCCTTCCCCTCTGTTCCCGGACCTGTCCTGAAGGCTTGCGGTGGGAGGAGGGCTTTCCTCCCCACCGCCAACATTCAGAATGCTGTTCTGAATGTTGGCGGTGGGAAGGAAAAACCCTCCTCCCACCGCAAGCCCCGGGAACAGAGGAGAAGCGCTGTGCGCCTTCTCCTCTGTTCCCGGACCTCCCACCACAAGCCTTCAGGACAGGTCTGGGAACAGAGGAGAAGGTGCGCTGCGCTTCCCCGCTGTCCCAGGAGATTTCCCTATGGGCTTTCGTCTTGCGAAGCAAGCCCATAGGGAAATTCGTCTTGCGAAGCCTCTAAAAATCGGAAAACCCTTTCGTCTTGCGGGTTTTTCGTTTAGCGAGGCATTCGTCTTGCGGGGTACCACTGTATAGGAAATTGCAATGATAGGAAATGAACTAAGACTTATTTAACTTCTTCATAAACTTAATGCAAATGAGTTAATTTTTTTGTACATGGATTAAGTTTTGATAGCCTTAATTTCGCTCTTTCTACAGTGCCATGAAGTATATTTATGAGTACTGAGAAACCTTTTGCTCCTCAGGGTACCATCCTTTCAGATTGCTTAAACTTGCTTCATATTAATACCTTATAATATAGGAAATGTAAATCTATCCAAACTGTTTTATCCAGAATATTAGCAGTGATTTTTGGCCATTTCCCCTACCACAAAACATCCAACAGCATCTCCTGACCAGCTACCAGTAATAATGAAATAAACTGTTTTTTTAGAAACAGAATTGTAGGCCATTTGTTTTTATTAACTTCTTGAGCTCTCTGATGTAGTTCTTTTAACTTCCACTAGGGGGCGATCACTCTCCAAGCTATAATATATACTGTACTTTTCTGTGTATAAGACTAGGTTTTTTTACTTTTAAAAAGGGTTAAAAATCTGGGGGCATCTTATACACGAATAGTGCATATGCCCATTTTCTAAATTTGGGGTCCCTAAAAGTAGGGTGCGTCTTATACATGGGGGCACAGAAAAATACAGTACTTTTTAAAGATATTCGGATAGTAGGGCAGCTATAGTTATTCTAATAAAACACATCATATTGTCATTGTATGTCTTTATATGTGCATTGGTGTTTACACATTTGTAAAGTACATTTATTGATGAATTAGGCATGATTATATGCCAGTTAAATTATATATGAGTGAGGCGGTTTGGCAAGCTCGGGCAGGGCAGAGTGAGTTGGGGGAGGGCCGTGCCCCCCCTAGTAATACTAAAGTAAAGGTAAAGGTACCCCTGACCGTTAGGTCAGTTGCGGATGACTCTGGGGTTGCGGTGCTCATCTCGCTTTACTGGCCGAGGGAGCCGGCGTTTGTCCGCAGACAGCTTCCGGGTCATGTGGCCAGCATGACTAAGCTGCTTCTGGCAGCGCACAGAAACGCCGTTTACCTTCCCGCCGGAGTGGTACCTATTGATCTACTTGCACTTTGACGTGCTTTCAAACTGCTAGGTGGGCAGGAGCAGGGACCGAGCAACGGGAGCTCACCCCGTCGCGGGGATTCGAACCGCCGACCTTCTGATCGGCAAGCCCTAGGCCCTGTGGTTTAGACCACAGGGCCACCCATGCTAGTAATACTATAAGAAGGTAAAAAGAGCCTGGCTGCTGGATCAGGCCAATGGCGCATCTAATCCAGCATCCTGTTTTCACAGTGGCCAACCAGATGCCTTAATGGGAAGCCAGAAGCAGGACCCAAGCACAAGAGCACTCTCACCGCCTGTGGTTTCCAGTAACTGATATTCAGAAGCATTAAGCCTCCAGCCGTAGAGACAGAGCACAGCCACCATGACTAGAAACCACTGATAGCCTTCTCCATGAATTTGTCTAATTCTCTCTTAAAACCAACTAAGTTGATGGCCATCAGTGCCTGCTGCGGGAGCAAGTTACATGGTTTTTACTATGTACTGCATGAATAAGTCCTTCTTTTTGTCCAGAGCGCTGTATAAGATACACCATTCATCTCTTATACACCAATATCTTCAGTTACAGATAGGTAGCCGTGTTGGTCTGCCATAGTCAAAACAAAAAAATTCCTTCCAGTAGCACCTTAAAGACCAACTAAGTTAGTTCTTGGTATGAGCTTTCGTGTGCATGCACACTGAAGAAGTGTGCATATCTGAAGTGTGCATATCTGAAGAAGTGTGCATGCACACGAAAGCTCATACCAAGAACTAACTTAGTTGGTCTTTAAGGTGCTACTGGAAGGAATTTTTTTGTTTTGACACCAATATCTTGTTCCCCCTTAGCCGCCTTTTTTCCTAAACTGAAAAGTGGCTATTTATGTCTACTCAGAAGTAACCCTGTGGAACCCTAGGAGTAATTGTTGGCAAAATGAGAACTAAAACGCCCACAAATTGCCCTTCTGCACACTGTTACCCTTTACAGTGGTACCTCTGGATGCGAACGGGATCTGTTCTGCAGCCCTGCTCGCATCCTGAAGTGAACGCAACCCACGTCTGCGCGGGTTGCAACTCACCGCATCTGCGCATGTCATTTTGAGCGTCTGCGCATGTGTGAGCGGCGAGACTTGGAAGTAACACATTCCATTACTTCCAGGTCGCCATGGAGCGTAACCTGAAAACGCTCAACCTGAAGCATATTTAACCCAAGGTAAAATAGAGTTGGTGATAGAGTTGGAAGCCTTGCAAAGGTGTTGCGGATAACCAGCAGAAATCCTTTTTTATTTTGAAATTATTTTGTTTTTATGATGAAGCCATTCAGAAGCATGCTGAATCTTATTTACCTTGCTTGAAAGGCATGGTGGGTTTTCCCTCCCCATCTTACATTTTCTCCCATCTTGTTTCCTAGACTGTTTTTAATTTCCGTCCATCAGAAGGCACGTCTAGTTCCATCCTGGGCTGCTCAGTCTCAAAGTATTATAAGGTATGTTGTGCTGTTCTGAGGCTGATTTCCTACTTTAGCTTGCCTGTGGTGCTGAAATAGGGACACGGGTAGCGCTGTGGTCTAAACCACAGAGCCTAGGGCTTGCCAATCAGAAGGTCGGCGGTTCGAATCCCCGCAACGGGGTGAGCTCCCATTGCTCGGTCCCTGCTCCTGCCAACCTAGCAGTTCAAAAGCACATCAAAGTGCAAGTAGATAAATAGGTACCGCTTCAGCGGGAAGGTAAACGGCATTTCCGTGCGCTGCTCTGGCTCGTCAGTAGTGGCTTAGTCATGCTGGCCACATGACCCAGAAGCTGTACGCGGGCTCCCTCGGCTTGTAAAGCGAGATGAAAGCCACAACCCCAGAGTCGTCCGCAACTGGATCTAACGGTCAGCGGTCACTTTACCTTTACCTTTATGGTGCTGAAAAGTCAAAAGATTTTAGTTTTTTATAGGCTTAGCAATAAATGGTTGAATTAAGTTTGAGGAAAAAGAGGGCTGCATGAGTTTACCATAGTACAGTGGTACCTCGCAAGACGAATGCCTCGCAAGACGGAAAACTCGCAAAACGAAAGGGTTTTTGGTTTTTTGAGTTGCTTCGCAAGACGATTTTCCCTATGGGCTTGCTTCGCAAGACGGAAACGTCTTGCAAGTTTGTTTCCTTTTTCTTAAAACCGTTAATACAGTTACGACTTGACTTCGAGGAGCAACTCATAGCACGCGGTGTGGTAGCCTTTTTTGAGGTTTTTGAAGACTTTGGTGATTTTTGAAGGTTTTCCAAAACTTTTCCATCACCGTGCTTCGCAAGACGAAAAAAACCGCAAGACGACAAAACTCGCGGAACGAATTAATTTCGTCTTGCGAGGCACCACTGTATAATTAGTGACTTTATACCTTTTCAGTTGTAAGATACTGCAAAAGAGTAAGTTAATACCTTTTCAGAATTTACTCAGTTCCTTGTTCAAACTGCATAGGCCCACTTACAACATGTTGCCTGCTAGTAGAAGCTGGTTCTGTTCATTGCTCCCTTACAAACTTCATTGTGGTGATGCAAGTAGCATAGATGTCCTATTCTTGTACTTCATATTTATTGATTATGCCTCTTAGGTCCACATCCATCTAGATGCAAGTAATCATAAAAAGAAGCAGAGGACAGACCTGTGGAACTCGTTAGCAACTAAAAAACAAGGTGACAATGCTGATACGTTGCTTTGATCATGTAAATCTTTCAGCCCAGGTTTCTTCAACTTAAATGAGAACTGGAGGCAGCTGTGTGTGCCATGACAGCAATCTATAATCTCATTTGGCCAGGACATTTTCTAGCCAGTTTTTGTGAAACCATTGCGTAGTTTTGTCATTGCACTGTGTAATTGTGCTTCCAAAATTTAATGTTGTGTTTGAAGGTATTGATGCTGTGCTGTTGATTTTGGGAAGAACTGAGGGGGCAAAGATAGGCAAAAGCAGGGCAAACAGTGGCATTCTTGCGTTCTCAAAGTAAAGGAAGGATTGAACTCTGATTAATAAGAATACACACAGAGACTTGAACCAGCAAGACTCTGGGAAGGGTGCGTATAATCGTCTCTCTCTGTGCCTGTCCGTCAGATCTCCACAGCCCCTGGGCCAGGCCGTTTTATTCACAAAAGAACTTTTTACGGAGTGTTCGTAAGAACCAATCATTTCCTCTGAGCATTTAAACAAACCCACGTGGGACAAGTTAAACTACTAAAACTAATTAAGCACAAATATTTCTGGGGTAAACAAAGAACAGAACTACAAAGAAGAGCATCTGGCAACCCCGGAGGTAATAAACAAGCAATACATATGATAAGGAGGATGGCAAGGAGGACAGTGACCATTATCCCCTTAATGTGAGATCTGTTTCCTGGCCCTAAGATTAACATCCTAAGATTAATATCAGAAAACTACAAAGACGAAACTGCCCAGTCTTTGAGGACACAGGACGCCTGCCTGTCTAAGTGTGTATGTGATTTGTGAAGAGCAAGGGGAAATGGGCAGCAAAGGCAAAAGGGCATCAAAAGGGCATGAATGTAGAATCTTATGGGATTTAATCAGAAATTATCGTCAATATATCAAACCCAGTCATCACAATGTCTTCATTGTGGACACGATGGCTTGATGTATATTCTATAATTCCTCATGGTAATTCCATCTGATCCCTACAGGCATGACCATGTAGGTTAGGTAATCAAGGACTGGGAGTCTTAGACATGGGAAGGAAGCTAGGAGGACCAGTATCTTCCATTTTCATTCCCCAAATGATATGCATCAGCCTTTTGACTGCACACACGGACTCCTTACCTCCCTCTATGCCACAAGTTGTCATTAAATCAGGAAACCTAAATTTAAACAGATTTCCCTGTTTTGCTGCTATCTTTGGAATAAGCTGACTTCAAACTGTGGCTTAATATTCTGGCTTGTTCTGAAGTTTGCAACCATGGTTCCCCTGCTTTGGACAAAATTGGAATCAATGCTTAATTTAGAGCACGGGTGGGAAACCTGTGGCCCTCCATATGTTGCTGGACTACAGATCCCATCATCCTTGGTCAGTGGCCATATCAGCAAGGGATGATGGGGTTTGGAGTCCAACAGCATCTGAAAGGTTACATATTTCCCATCCCTAAATTAGAATTAAGTACTGATTTGTTTTCAGCTTGAATGAAAGGAGGTGTACAGAAGCAAAGGGTGTGTGTATATCTCACATTATTACAATAGCCAAACTTGGTGTGTTCTAAAGAGCAAAAATGAATTCATTTGACCTTTAGCCTCTAATGATGCTGATGCAATTATAAAGGTATGTTCCCATATAAATATTTCACCCCCCACAGTTGTTGTCGTAAGTAATTTGATAAATTATATTTATTTTACACATACCAATTCTGAGTGGGGAAAACTCTTGTTTAGGTTTACTTCAAGTACTTCCTACTGTTCATAGCATGTCCTTGTACTTTAGTTCCAGAAACTCTTGCAGGCAGTCTAGGCAGTACACATTTTCCTTGTTTAGAAATGTGGTGAATAATACAGAAAACAAAGAATCTGGAGTGTTGATAAGAGAACCTTGAGAATTGCAGCCTACAAATACAAATCTCGCAATTCCTTTGCTTGTTCCATGCTCTGCCTCTACTTTCTTTTGTGCCAGAAATGTGATACCGAGTGAAGTGCCAACTTAAATGGTCGCCTTCCCAAACTTGATATCCCCTCCTCCCTTCCATGTAAATACAGAGTCAATCCATGTCATACAGAGCAAAGTGAAAGAGGTTCTCTGAGTATACTCTCATGATTTTCACCCCTGACAAGCAACTGTGCCGTGCATAAAATCTGTAGGTTTGGTGAATTCATCTCTCAGAGCCCATCGTTCAACCATCTCAGCATTTCTCTATCTTATCATGTCCTACAGCTAAGCACTTTTTGAAAGTGCTACCTGCCAGTGATAGAATACATAGCTGCATTGAATTTTTTATTTTGTCCCAAGTTAGCCAATGGCTACTTCTAGTCAATGTGTTCATCCTTCAGAACAGGTTTTCTAGAGGCGATATGGTGAGCTGCCTGCACTCAGATCTGACTCTCCTTGTATCTATGCAGTTCTGCAGTGATAAACATTGAGGGACACCCAGATACTGCTTTCCTTCTTTTATATCAGTCAAGAACTTGCTCTACCTAACTTCTTCTCTTCTCCATCAGAAGGGAAACCAGTTCTGCACAAGACATTAAAATAAAGTTGCCTTTCTACTTGGAAACATCTTCCAAGGCTCTGGGGCGTTGATAAGATACTGTTCTTTACAAAGGACCACTCAAAGGATCCTTTTAATAGTGTTTACATGTTTTAGGGCATTTTAAAAAAATAATAACTTTTGTAAAAGTTTTTTGGAACTCACAATTTCTTAATGCTGTGCATTAAGGCTGTCTGAGAAGATGTTAATTAGTTCAAGGCCCGTGGTTGCTTACAAGTGGCCTGCTATATCTGCTTGCAGTAAGTTACGGGTCAGTACTCTTTACTCCAGCCACAGGGAATACCTCTTAACGTTTTGCCTTGGTGTTTTGTTTGATACAGGAAAGGTCTTGAGCTATTGGTGTTTCAGTCCTGGATACAGCATGCACGAGTTAGTGCGTCAGGAAGTCCGAACAATCATTCTCACTAGCGGGACACTCTCTCCACTATCATCTTTTACTATGGAAATGCAGATGTGAGTCTCTTTCTGTTGTTCCTATGACAAAAGGCAGCTTGAGTTAGGTCATATCATGTCCTGGGTTTCAGTGAAAGTCATTGAGGAACAAGTATGGGATTTTCAGGTTCAAGGTTTCTTTCTTACGTGTGGGATGCTTTTGACAAGGTATTTGAAGAAACATCATCACACATTTCCTGTGATGCAAAGTGAGCCCTGAGCACACCAGTGATTGGCTGTTCTTGGAGGTCAGTTTCAGTACATGTGGAAGTGCCATGGGAAAAGTCCTCCCTCTAAATCATTTGGAAATTGGCACCAGTTTAAACCTGCCTCTTGAATTTACTAATTTGCCATTTAATTGTGATATGAGGATGGTGATAATTGATTGCTCGCTCTTCACCCTGTTGTCCCAGGGCAGGTTACAGCAAGTAAAACACAGTGTTAAAACAAGCTTAAAACAACCTACAATCACAGAAATAAAGTGGGTCCTAAAAGTATATGTGGCAGAGAGATGCCCAAAAAATTTACTGAAGAGATAGATGTTTTTTTCTCTTTTTAGTTTACTTACTTTGAGGCAATTATTAATTACATACTGGACCACTATTTATGTTCATATTAACAGATGTTCAGTTTTAAATGCTGTTGTGCGATAGATTAGTCCACAGTGACCAACCAGATCATGAAATCTAAGAGCCGGAAGGGACCCTGACTTACTCAGTTTTTTGCTTCTTTCGTATTCTCCTGCCCACAGCTCAAACCACCAACCTTCTGGTTAACAGCCAGGCACACTGCCCATTGCACCGCCTGAGGTGCTCAGGTGCCTGAGGCTAGAGGACTCGTTCTTTAAATTTCTGCCTATTTGCTAAATGCACCTTTTAGCTTGTGCTTGCCTCTTCAGTGTTGTGTATTTTATGTGCACATACTCTACCTCATTATTTTGGGGCATCCCTGTTTCTACGTCATTCCATACCACTTGGGCCAGTAACTTGTTTTAGCTGACCAGACTACTTTTTTCAAAGGACCTATACAGTTAGGAAGACTTTAAAATATCCTCTGGCTTGCTGACATGTGACGCATCCGCATGAAGGGTTCATTTGCCCAGGCCACACAGGGATCATGTGACTTTGATGATCAACATAACAACCTCTCTCCAGTTTTTTGTCCCTGCCTCTACCCATCCAGTTTGTGTATAACCTCTCTCTATTTCTGGATTGTGCCTTGTTTCCTCCGCTTCCATTTTCGACTCCACCTCTTACTCAGTTTCTTGCTCCTTGACCGTTCTCTACATATTTTTATATGTGTGAAAAAAATCCTTACCTTTCCCCCATTAGTTCTCTTCCATCGTTGTGTCCGGACACTGAGGTCCAGTGCTGAGGGCCTTCTGGCGGTTCCCTCACTGCGAGAAGCCAAGTTAAAGGGAACCAGGCAGAGGGCCTTCTCGGTAGTGGCACCTGCCCTGTGGAATGCCCTCCCGTCAGATGTCAAAGAGAACAACAACTACCAGACTTTTAGAAGACATCTGAAGGCAGCCCTGTTTAGGGAAGCTTTTAATGTTTAATAATGTTTAATTGTGTTTTAATATTTTGTTGGAGCCACCCAGAGTGGCTGGGGAAACCCAGCCAGATGGGTGGGGTATAAATAATAAATTATTAATATTGTTATTATTAGTTAGTTAGTTAGTTTGGACGCGGGTGGCGCTGTGGGTAAAAGCCTCAGCGCCTAGGGCTTGCCGATCGAAAGGTCGGCGGTTCGAATCCCCGCGGCGGGGTGCGCTCCCGTTGCTCAGTCCCAGCGCCTGCCAACCTAACAGTTCAAAAGCACCCCCCAGGTGCAAGTAGATAAATAGGGACCGCTTACTGGCAGGAAGGTAAACGGCGTTTCCGTGTGCTGCGCTGGCTCGCCAGATTCAGCTTTGTCACGCTGGCCACGTGACCCGGAAGTGTCTCCGGACAGCGCTGGCCCCCGGCCTCTTGAGTGAGATGGGCGCACAACCCCAGAGTCTGTCAAGACTGGCCCGTACGGGCAGGGGTACCTTTACCTTTACCTTAGTTAGTTAGTTATATCCCCTCTTCTTTGCTGCTATGGTGCCCGCAGGCAAAGATATACGTAGTTCTCAGTCTGAAAGTGGGACAGCGAAGACAAATACCTTCCAGATCGGCCTATAGCCAGACTGGCAAAAGCAGGAGCCAGTGAGGCCCCTACTTGGTGAAAGGTTACTATTCAGTCACCCAGTCAGAACACCTCTCCCATGGGGCCTGTGCCAGTGCTGGGATTGTAGCAGGCAGCGTTGGAAGACCCAAGTGCTGCCAGCCATGAATTCTCCCCATGTGGAATCTCTCTTGGCCACCAGGCTTGGGGTTAGAAGAGCATAGGAGGCTGCATGAGGATTTGGCAGCCAGCAGGCCCATCACTTCACAGGCCTCCCCTGAAGTCCACTGCTCAAACCCCAGACCCTTTCCCCCACCTCTGCAGTTGGAGCAGCAGCCATATTCACTAGAGTCTTCAACTGCTGGATCAGAACCCTCTGTCAAGCCCCAGCCTGATCTAAGGCAGGTCACAACAGCAGCATTGCTGCCATAAAGTACACGGTAAAGAAATGGGTCCCCAAATGCATGTTTAAGTTAAAGTTGGGTCCCGTCTCTGAAAAAGTGTGGCGACTACGGTTCTCAGAGAGTTAGGCTGCAATGTTTTCTCTGATCACCAGAGGCCATCAAAGGACACGATAAGTTTAGTACAGGGGTAGACAGCCTAAGGCCTGGGGGCCGGATGCGGCCCAATCGCCTTCTCAATCCGGCCCGCGGACGGTCTGGGAATCGGCGTGGTTTTACATGAGTAGAATGTGTGCTTTTATTTAAAATGCGTCTCTGGGTTATTTGTGAGGCCTGCCTGGTGTTTTTGCATGAGTAGAATGTGTGCTTTTATTTAAAATGCATCTCTGGGTTATTTGTGGGGCATAGGGATGTGTCATCCCCCCCCCAAAAAAATAGTGCAGCCCACCACATGGTCTGAGGGACGGTGGACCGGCCCACGGCTGAAAAAGGTTGCTGACCCCTGGTTTAGTGCCTTCTCTTCTATTTCAGCTAATAGGGGAACTTTCCTTTCTAAATGGCAGCAGAGCCCGGTAGGCTTATCACAGCTTTACATTTCTTCTTCAAGTGGCTTTGCTGAGTTTTCTTCATTCTTTTGTCTTTCCTGTTATAATCTCTCAGATTTTAGAGCTTCATCACAGACCGAAAGAAAAGAAAGGAAGGGAAACTGGAGAGAGGTTGTTGTACTAATAATCAAAGTCACATGATCCCTGGGGAAATCAGAACATAAAACTCCTCATACAAGTTCATTATACAAGTTCATTATACCAGCCTAGAAGGTCTATGCATGGTAAATGACCTAATATTCCTTTCTGGCTTCACTGCTGTGATCCCAGAACACTGGAGGTAGAATGCACACGTAGAGATATCTGTCATATAACTTTTAAAAGAAACTGCAGATCGCTAAGAGCATCATTCTCTTTTTTTTTTAAAAAAAAAGTGAATTGATTTTCCAATATTTTTCCAAAAACAGCCTCATTATAATAGCGGAATCGGGGGCAGTCACGGCAGCCAGAGTGCTCTGTGCACCCAGTCCCTTTGCCTGCCCTTGCATTCCATGGGGAAACTGAGTGCCAGACCGCCAGGCAAACTTTGGATGGGAGCCTGGTTCCTCTTCCAACCGAAGAGGAATGCAGATAATGGAATTCCCCCATCAATTTCTGATTAACTCCATCTGTCTCTCTCAGGATTAAGCTAAACTATAAAGTCTATAGAACTGACAGGTTGGTGAAGTCTGACTGTCTTTCTGTTTTCCTTTAGTCCCTTCCCAGTTTGTTTGGAAAACCCACACGTTATCGATAAACACCAGATTTGGGTGGGGATAATCCCTAAAGGACCTGATGGTGGTTTGCTGAGTTCCACCTATGAAAAAAGGTAATAGGGTTCCTTCCTTTCAGTTTAATAATCTTGTTGCAGACTTCGGTACTGCATCAATTTACTGCACATGCGCTCGACACAAATTCTCTGCAGAAAAATCGTATTTGTGATTTTTGGGAATACAGAGCCCAAATTCATACATAACAAAAAGCTTTATGAGACTGTGTTATAGTGAGACTTGAATTTCATGATAATTGGAAGAAATATTTAATCTATATGGAATCTAAATCTCAGGTGACACTGGCGGGGTTGAAATAACTCTAACAGCGGGAAAGGCCTATGTAAAAGAGTATAAAAAGTAACGTGACTATATAATTTTATTCGATACTTACCAAAGGATGTAGAGGGAAGTCAAGGCTCAGTTGAGACTAACTCAGTTCTGTATTTTATTTATGATTTGCTTGCAATGCGATATAATTCAGTATAAGGTATGTGGTGGATTTTTTGTTTAATTGTTGTTCCTGTATAACTATGTGCAAACTATGAAATGAAAATTTATGGGGGGAAAAACTATACAGTTTGAGACATTGAATTTGACCCCGTCCCTCTCTTCCACTCCTCACATGCAAAGGAAAAACATGTTAATATTTTTATCTTTCTGTTGTGGGAACAAACCCCAGCTTTCATGTTACTTCTAAGAATACATCTTTTTTTTAGGTCCCAGCAACTAGACCTGTGCAAGGTGTTCTCAAGTTGTAGATTGCACCAGATTTTGTACAATGGCATAATGATATTGGGAGTTTTTGTTTCATTCCCTTCCTAATAACCCCTAATATGGGATTCACATTTTTCACAGCTGCAACACACTGGGTCAATATTTTCATCAAGATACCCACAATGAGCCCAATATCTCTCTTTCTGGAGCAGTCACCTCTAATTCAGAGAGGAAGGTGCGGGAGGCAAACACAAAAGAGCCAGAAAGTAGAGGAAACTTGTGAGAAGTTTCTGTTTCAGAGTTAGAACTTCACCATATGACTCTCTGTGGCCAGAGATAAGAGTCCACTCCACGTAGGACAATAAGCATGATTTCTAAGGAAGGCTAAACCAGGCACTGCACTCATTTCAACCCCACCTACCCCTTTTTGTTAGTTTAATGACCATGGGCAGCATGGGGGTGGGCAGGGAAGGCAAAGCCCCCTTCCTCAAACAAGGAGATTCCTTCCCTCCATTTGCTGGACTTCCATTAACATATCCTGTTAATTTTTTTCAGTGATCTTAGCACGCTCACCTAGAAATATACTTTGCCTCTTCTGTCCCCCACCCATTGTTTTCTAGTGTTGACATTGTTAATGACTCAGCTATTTAAACTTTTATAACTTCTGTAGATGATTCTTTGGATCATATGACTAGATACATTCTAATAAATTACAGGGACCTGTTTTTTCGGTGAATCAGTCAATAGGGGAAAGAAGAGAGTGATAGTCATGTCTTAAGAGTGACAAACGGTTCATTGTATTCCTTTGGTGATGACTGTGGGGGCACCAGGCATTCTTTACTTTCCAACATGTAGAAGCTGGGTGCTGACGGATAGTTGTTGTTTTTGCAGATTTTCATCAGAGTGTCTGTCATCTCTTGGGAGAACAATAGGTAAGACCGAGAAGACCTTCTGCTCCAACATGACTGAAATCCACATGGATTTAAATCAACACTGTGCACTTAGCCAAGCAATGCAGCTGCTACACCATGGGTAGGCAACCTAAGCCCCGGGGGCCGGATCCGGCCCAATCGCCTTCTAAGTCTGGCCCGTGGACGGTCTGGGAATCAGCGTGTTTTTACATGAGTAGAATGTGTGCTTTTATTTAAAACGCATCTCTGGGTTATTTGTGGGGCATAGGAATTCGTTCATTTTTATATATTTTTTTGGTCAAAATATAGTCCGGCCCCCCACAAGGTCTGAGGGACAGTGGACCGGCCCCCTGCTGAAAAAGTTTGTTGGTCTCCCACCAACTGAGGCACTAAATACTGTTGGGGGGGTGGAAATGTGTCATTGACTCCACCCTTGAAGAGCTGCTGCCAATCAAATAAAATGCAAATAAAAATAATTTTAAAAAAAGATACTGAAATCAGGGTGAACTTCGTCTTAATATTTGTTTTGTTTTGGCAGGTAATCTTGTTCGAATCACACCACATGGGCTGCTTGTTTTCTTCCCTTCATATCCTGTCATGGATAAAAGCCTGGAATATTGGAGAGTAGGTTTCCATGGCCTTTTCTGTCCTATAAAGCGACATTAAGCAATATGCATTATTCACGCTGCTAGTCATTAACGAGAACCTATACAAACAATATTGGTGTTTGAGTTGAGTGGATTTGTGCACAGTTTTGACAGATGCTAAGGAAATAATCAATCAATCTTTATTACGGTCCAGAGACCCAACAAATCAATACACAATTCATACAGCCTACCTCCAGGTTAAACAAGCATTTTGTTTAGAATATAGGGCTCATTTGTTCTTGCAACCACCGATAAAAACTTTGCCACTGCTAACGTTCTAGCATTTGTCCGGTCTTCCAGTAGGAACCTGACATAGTGAGCCTCTGATTTTCCCGGGAAAGGGACCAGCAAGGGTAGTATCAGTTCAGCCCTGGCCTGCTCATATTTTGCACAATTCAACAAAATATTATTTATGGAATCGATGTCTTGAGCACACGAGCAAAGTCTGTCCTGGTAGGGAACTCCTCTCAACCTGCCATCCAACACTGCAGAGGGAAAGACATTTAGTCTGGCTTTGGTGAAAAGCCTTCGGTAGTTTGGTACAGTCAGGTTTTTAATGTAAGATGTTAACTCAAAGACATACCCATATTGAACTCCTACTGCCAGCGGACTACAGACTGCGTGTGATCGAGATCGCAAGTCTCTGTGTGCATTATCCCATAATCTTTGCTTTAAAATCTTTTGGGCGCCTTCATAACCCAGGTAATACAGTTGGGGGGGAGACAGACCAATAGAGGTGGCTTTTTAGCCATGGTTTTCTGCCATTTGCTGACAAATCCTCATTGGTCAGGTGTTGGTACAAACCCTTCCCTAGATTAAACACTGAAATCCTGAGCCAATGTTTTAGGGCAGCCCACCACGCTCTAGCTGAAATTGGGCATTCACCAGATTCCAACAGAAGTACGGATTGCTCCACACAGTCTTCAGCTCATTCCTCATTAACTGCTGTCACTGCATTGTTGCCAAAAAGGAGTTGAATGGTGACATGGCTTAAAGCTGTAACTATTGGCAGCCTGAGCATCTTCCCCATCTGATCTGAAGCGATACGATCAGATTCTATACAATGAGGAGTTAGGAAAGTAACTTGTTCACCAGAGGGCATAAAACACAATTGAGATGGCATTACCTTACAGGTTCCAACAGCTATCGCCTCTCTTTCATGTTCTGGCTTGATTCAAATTAGTGCAATGTTTTGAAATAGTTTTAATTTAAAACTTTCTGGCTTGTGGCATTGGAATATAGCAAGAGACTATATTTCTTGTTTACTTTAGGAAACCTTGAGTTTCAAAAATACTCACATGTTGGAAACATGCCCCAGGGTTCTTGCTTGCTTATCCAAAGAATCAGAGCTTGTTGTCTGGTGCTAACAGGCATGAAACCTTTGTCCAGTTTTGGTGTGGAGGCGGGGGGTGTCTTAGGTGACTGCACACCTGCATGTATTACATCTATCAAGCAGGCAGGAAAATCCCACACCTTGTTTGAAGTAGTTGATTCACTTGCTTGACTCACTTGTACTAGTCCCTCTCTTTCTCTCTGTTTTCTCACAGGAGCATGATCTTGCTGGAAGAATTGAAGCAGTTAAACCAATGTTTGTGGAACCAAGAAACAAAGGAACCTTCACAGAGGTTGGCAAGACTTTACACTGTTATGATGCATAGTAACTTGATTCCTGGCTGCTTAGTCAGACTGCTACTGAACAACCTTGAGCCTGGTCCCAGGGAAAAGAGAATCTGGTTGTTAGTGATGTCCGATACACAGCTTGAGATTGTTGTTGTTTAGTCGTTTAGTCGTATCTGACTCTTCGTGACCCCCTGGACCAGAGTACGCCAGGCACTCCTGTCTTCCACTGCCTCCCGCAGTTTGGTCAAACTCATGCTGGCAGCTTCAAGAACACTGTCCAACCATCTCGTCCTCCGTCGTCCCCTTCTCCTTGTGGCCTCAATCTTTCCCAACATCAGGGTCTTTTCCAGGGAGTCTTCTCTTCTCATGAGGTGGCCAAAGTATTGGAGCCTCAGCTTCACGATCTGTCCTTCCAGTGAGCACTCAGGGCTGATTTCCTTAAGAATGGATAGGTTTGATCTTCTTGCAGTCCATGGACTCTCAAGAGTCTTCTCCAGCACCATAATTCAAAAGCATCAATTCTTCGGCGATCAGCTTTCTTTATGGTCCAGCTCTCGCTTCCATACATCGCTACTGGGAAAACCATGGCTTTAACTATACGGACCTTTGTTGGCAAGGTGATGTCTCTGCTTTTTAAGATGCTGTCTAGGTTTGTCATTGCTTTTCTCCCAAGAAGCAGGCGTCTTTCAATTTTGTGACTGCTGTCACGAAGTTAGGTAGGCCAACAGGAATAGTGCCAGTTTCCTCCTAGCAGTTTTATTGGTTTTATCCTGCTCACATAGCACTCCATGCACCAGAAGGTATCTGTTTTTTCTATTAGTGTTTTCCTGAAGCTTGAGCCTTAATCAAAATTCTGGCATTTGGGTTATATGCAGTAGTGGTTTGTAAAGCAGAGTTGCTTACCTGGCTTCCCAGTGCCAAGCATCACTTCCAGTTACCGAAAGGGAGATGGGTAGTGGCGAGGCGGCAGGAAGCTTGCCACAGGGTGCCGCAGCAGTGTAACCAATCAGATGCTTCACCCGTGATACCAAGTTCTACCCCTCATCTCCTCTTCCTCTTTTCAGTAATTGATAGTGATAGGGTTTGGAAACCAGGTGAGCAGTGCCACTGTGCCAGATATATGACATATCACAAGTACACATTCATCACTTTGGCCTTGAAACACCATATAACTCTTAATAAAAATGTGCGATGAACAGCAAGTTAACATTTAAAAAATCATTCAGAAAGCTCAAGTGAGTTAAAAGCAGGTTGAACATTGGACATATTTTTGACTCCTGGCAATTTTAGATTTTCCTTGCTTCCTTTAGATTTTTATAGACTTTTAATTCTTTTTAGTTTTTCAGATTTTAAATAACTGTAAACCTCTCCCCCCCCCCCTTAGGCTGGCCTATGATCGTAATTTTGACTTGATTTGATTTAACCCCTGGCAGAAGCACTTTGGAAACAGTGGCAAATGTTTTGAATAATCTGCTAAAAATCTCTGGAACTTTATTGCATAGAACAGCCCTCGCACACACACCCTCTTTAATGAATTCCCATGTATCACACCTCTTGAGCAAAACCTTTTTACAGGAAAGTTTTTTTTCCTGAAAAGCAACGTGTACCCTGCAGATAGGGCTTCCTTCCTTCATCAATGCTTTTTCTTCTTGGTGGGACTGTACATTTCAACTCTTCTTATCAAAGTTATTCATGCTTGAATTCCACTGAAAACAAAGTGCAGTCATTTTTAAAAAAAATAACTTCATTTATGAACTTTCATTTAAAAACCTCAGATTGATCCATAAGAAAACCCACCATTCTCCTAACCTTGAAATTTCTCTGGCAGGTTATCCTAATTTTCCGAACATTTATGTGCTTATAAAATGCCTATATATTTCCTGTTTGTCTTGTCTTGAACATATTTTGCAGGAAGATAAGGAACGGGAATGCTGAAGGTTCTTTGTGCTGTGTTCCATGGAAGCTGTTGTCTCACATGGCCCTGATATGAGATTTGCAGGTTTCTCGTAATGAAGGGTGGCTCATTCATGGAACTGAACATCTGCCCGATTGAGCAAAGTCGTCAAGATAGTGGGATCCTAGATCCTGTATATTTCAGTGGAAGTTGGAAAGCTGTTATGTTCCAGAGGATGGGGCCACAATCACAGAAGCTGTAAGCCTCTATGTAATGACAGGACTGCAGATACAGTATGTTCCAAGGAAATCAGGAATCAGTCGAAGGCCAAACATGATTCAAAGAAAAAGTCAGGCAACAGTCTAAGCTCACAGGGGTGTCCAGGCAAGGTACAGTGCAGCAAGGCAGAGTGATTAGATCTGGGACTCCAGATGTTTCCAGCAAGTGGAAGGCTCAAGAGGGAGGCCTCCTAAACCAGATGGTAGCCACAGCTGCTAGCTGTGATGGAGTAGCATGGATTCTTACTCACAAGAAGCCCCCTTACGAGTAGAGTGACAACTTTGGGTCCATAGATGCATAATGTGCCATTCCTCTTCAGCCCAGAACTGAAAGCTTTCGGTGTCGGCACTCTTGAAAACAGGGGAACGGCGAGGAGCCTGCTCCACCTCCTCCTCTGGCAGTTTTATTTGTTTATTTATTTTACAACATTTATATACCACTTGACTGTAAACAAAACCTCAGAGCAGTTTACAAAAAAGAATAAAGCAATAAAACTACCTGCTAAAAACCCAGTTAAAAAGACTTAGTTTAAAACCCAGTTATAACGTTCAACAGATAATTAAAACCACAATTAACCAAAAGCGATTAAAACGTCATGATAGCTTCTACATGTCTTGTTAGTTTTGCTTAAACAAGAATGGTTTTTTAAAGGTAAAGGGGACCCTGACCATTAGGTCCAGTCGCTGGGCCGACTCTGGGGTTGCAGTGCTCATCTCGCTTTATTAACCATGGGATCCGGCGTACAGCTTCCGGGTCATGTGGCCAGCATGACTAAGCTGCTTCTGGCGAACCAGAGCAGTGCACGGAAATTGCCGTTCACCTTCCCGCTGGAGCAGTACCTATTTATCTACTTGCACTTTGATGTGCTTTCGAACAGCTAGGTGGGCAGGAGCAGGGACGAGCAACGGGAGATCACCCCGTCGTGGGGATTCGACCCGCCAACCTTCCGATCGGCAAGTCCTAGGCTCTGTGGTTTAACTCACAGCGCCACCCGCGTCCAAGAATTTTTTTAGCGGGTGCCCAAAAAAGTATTATTTATTTATTTATTTTATTTACTTACTTACTTACCTACCACCCTATACCTGGAGGTCTCAGGGCGGGACAGTGAAGGCACCTGGCCGGTGTCAATAGGCAGGGAGTTCTCAAAGTGTAGGTGCTACGTGGGGTAATGCAATCACAAAGGTTTATGGGTCCCAAGCTCTGAAAGGTGTTATACAGTGGTACTTCAGGTTACATGCGCTTCAGGTTACAGACTCCACTAACCCAGAAATAGTGCTTCAGGTTAAGAACAGAAATCATGTCTCGGCGGCGTGCAGCAGCAGGAGGCCCCGTTAGCTAAAGTGGTGCTTCAGGTTAAGAACAGTTTCAGGTTAAGAACGGACCTCTGGAACGAATTAAGTACTTAACCAGAGGTACCACTGTATACAGATAGCAGCAGGTTTAAATTGGCGCAGTAGCAGATCTGCAGTCAGTGCAGGTCTCTGAGCAGAGGTGTTTATATGCTGACGGGTTGTTTTTTTTTAAGAATAATTTTTTATTAACTGACCAATCACATCAAATCAAACCAAATTACATAAATTCCAAATTACACAGCCGAATTTTTAATTTTGTTGGGGTACCCATATTTCAAGTTCCGAAGGATCCAATCAACTTCTTGCTTCTTACTGCTGTTTTAATGTCCACAAATCTAACCTTATGATGTTCACAGTACTATCCAGTCCTTTCTTATTATTTTTCCACATCTCTTGTTGTTATTTTCATATATTTTTCCTTTCTCTTTGTGACCTCTGATAGTCTCTGCAAGCTGGTTTGAACAGTTTGTAATCCTGCGTGGATATTATTTTTTTTTTCCAGTAGCCATATCCAGACGTTTTCCATATAACATCACTTCCATACATCAAAACAGTCTTAGCGTCATTAATCTTCACCAATCTGCCTCCTTTCTCAAAACCTCTGAGGAGATTCACTAGGAATGCAGTCTGAAAACAAATCCGTTCTTCCTCCCGGCTATAAATCCTTTGGCAAGATGGCGACTCTGAATTAATTGCTGCACCATTCCCAAAAGCTCTTATTGCTTCTTGGTCTCCATAAAGCATACTTTTGGTTAAAGTTTATCTCCACACAGACCTTAATCATCCTGCTTGGTCAGTTCCACCGACGGTTCTATGTAAATCACATAGAAGGAAAGTAAAAGTAAAAAAGGTTCCCCCCCCCATTCAGCCCTGTTGTCAACATACCCTGCCTTTGGTGTATCTTCATCGTAAAATATTCCTGTTTCTTCCAGCCGTCGA